TTTCATATGTGTATATGCATATAAATATACATATATCCTTTGTATGTGTTAGTGTGTATACATACACTTTATCTGTTTAGAACAGATTTGTGTTCACAGTGAAACTGAATGGCGGGTACAGAGGTTTCCCTCCTCTTGCTGAGCCCACACCTGCGCTGTCTCTCACTGTGAGCGTCGTCAGCAGAGTGGTCCCAGCCATTGAAGGATAGGCATTCAGTCACCACTGTAAGGCCCAGCCGGTGTGGGTGAGGGGCGGCTCCCTGCCCGGCCAGCAGGGACAGCTCCACCAAGGTCGAAGGGAGCCTGTAACACCCTAGAAGGCACATTTCTTTTGTCCCCCAAAATCCCACCTCCACAACCCCCTAATAAAAGCAATCCCTCACATCCCCTGGGTGCGTCTTCCCTGGCCTGCTGTCTGTACCAGACCAGCGAGCCTCGCCCAGGAGCATTCCCAATAAAGCTTCTTTTAAGCTGAGCTCTGTTCTCTGTGGATTTCTGGTTCTGAACATGAATTCCAACCTTACGGTCATTCTCGCCCAACATCCACAGTTTGCATCCGGGTTCACTTTTGGTGTTGGGCGTGATCAAAAGTATCTTGACATATGAATATTCATATGAGTATTTTAACTGCCCTGGGAAATTCCCCTTCCCCCTGGGAACTGCTGATGGTTTTACTGTCTCCGTAGATTTGTCTTCCAGAATGCTGTGCAGTTGGAAACACACACAGCTTTTTCAGATTGGCTTGTTTTACTTCATGGTATGCATTTACGGTTCTCCCAGGTTTTGATGGCTTATTTGTTTTCAGTCCTGAGTAATATTCCATCACCCTATGGCTCCAGCACAGTCTGTCCACTCACCTTGCTAAAGGATATACCTTGATTCTTTCCACGTTTTGGCGATTATGAATAAAGCTGCTCTCAACATCTGTGTTCAGGTTTTTGTGTGGACATAAGTTTTCAGTTCTTGTGGGTAAATACCAGGGAGCCTGATTGTCGGATCATATGGTAAAAATGTGTTCCATTTTGTAAGAAACGTCTGTACCGTTTTGCATCCCCGCCAGCCGTGAGCAGGAGTTTGTCTTCAGCCTGTGGTGGTGCTGGCATCCTGGCTCTTGGCCACCATAGTAGGTGTGCGGCTAACTGAAAGACAAACAGCAACCAAAAAAACACCACACACTTTTCCAGTTGGTTTCTTGGGATCAGGATCCAAATGAAATTCACATGCTGCAGCTGGATCGCCGTCTCCTTGAACCTAGCTCTACTGAAGATGGAGTTTTGAAATGTTGCCATCTAAGTGTTAACGCTAAGTAGCCCATGCTACTGGCTGGGCTTTTTTTTTTTTTTTTGCCTAGGCCTTTTGTGTGGCCAGAATCTGGATTTTGTTGATTATTTTTCCACGGTGCTGTTTTTCATGGAACTCTGTTTCACTGTATTTTCAGTAAATTAGCATTTCGAGTTAGAGACTTGATTAGATTGAGGAACAATTTATTTGATCATATTGTCTCATGGTTGATGGTATGGTCTCCCATGAGGAGCTGTGTAATTCTTTTATTTTTTTCTGTGATGTTAGCAAGACTGTTAAAAAATTATTACAACCCATTAGGGTTTGCAAAATGACAAGGCTCTGTGACTCCTTTTTTATTTATTTTCTTCCATTGTGAGAAAATTTTCTCATCTAGTCTGTGGTACCATTTTGTGGTATAATTTAAGCTGGCAAGTCAAGGTAAATTATTTGCTAGCTTTCAAACGAATGAATTGGTTTATTTATGTTATCCTCCAGTGGTGACTAATTAATTTTTGTAGTAATGTGAACTCATGAATCTAAACATATTTGATATACCCAATCTCTTGCAGATATTACCATTATTGTCCTATTTTTGGCAGAGTATCTCTTTAAATTTTCCCCTGAGTTCTTTTAAGAATTTCACGCGTTTTGTTTTTATTTGAAAGCCAAAGGGACAGATGGCAACTTTTCTCACCTGTTCACGCCACAAATCTGACAGCAGCCAGGAATTGGCCTGTCTGCAGGCAGAGGACCCACTCCAGCCGGCTCTCCCTTGTGGATGGCAGGGCTCCAAACACTTGAGCCTCCCAGGGGGCGCGTCATCGCGAAGCTGGAGCAGAAGCCGAGTAGAAGGGATTCACACCAAGCCACATGCTCCCCTAAGGGATGCAACTGTCCCAAGCAGCTACTTGACTCCTTGGTCCTTCTGACATGACGAGACACTAGCTGCCTTTGGGAACCTCCTTACTACCTGATATATCAGCAGATTTAGTCTCCTCTTGTACAGCTGCTGACTCACACCTGAGATGCCCCCATCCTTCAAGGAACAGCATTTTAAGAGACCACAATCTGGGTGCTGATGATACTCAATGCTACTATTTTTTGTTTTTTTTTTTTTGTTGTTGTTGTTGTTTTCACTAGGCTGTATAAGTGCACACAGCAAGAAAATATAAATTCATACATTTAAAAGCTTTTAAAGATAGAAATATTATTTCTTGTTGATATTTCCAGTGTGAATTCAGGACTCCCTGGCTTTTGTTTTCCTTCTATCTTGAAATTGATTCCTGTTTCTGTCCTGCTGAGCATCCCAGTTCCACAACAGAATTAGGGTGCAGAGTGAACTCATTTATTCTTTTTTTTTAATTTATTAATTTTTATTGGAAAGGCAGATTTACAGAGAAGAAGAGACACAGAGAAAGATCTTTGTCCATTTATTTACTCCCCAAGTGGCCTCAACGGAGGAGCTGAGCCAATCTGAAGCCAAGAGCCATTAGCTGCTGCTGCTGCTTCTTTTTTTTTTTAATGTATATATATATTTTTTAATTTGAAAGTCAGATGTACAGAGAGGAGGAGAGATAGAAAGGAAGATCTTCCATCTGATGATTCACTCCCCAAGAGGTTGCAAGGGCCAGAGCTGTGCCGATCCAAAGCCAGGAGCCAGGAACCTTCTGGGTCTCCCACACGGTTGCAGGGTCCCAAGGCACTGGGCCTTCCTCTGCTGCTTTCCCAGGTCACAAGCAGGGAGCTAGATGGAAGTGGAGCAGCTGACACAGAAAGTAATGTCCATGGGGGATGTTGGCACTGCAGGCAGATGACTAGCTTGCTGTGTCACAGCACTGGCCCCTATTAATGTTACTTTTAATGATTCAGGATCTTGTAAGGGCTTAAAATGTTAGATGCCATGGTAGTCCTTTTAACAACGCTTTGTTGAGTACTTTGCAAAAAGTCTGTGCTGAGTGCTGGTGAAGAAGGCACATACAGTCCCTGACTCAAGGAGCAGAAAGAGTGCTTCTCACTGAGGGAGGGTTGCAGTGTGATGTGTAGATGCAGAAATATTGGGGGGCGGGGGACCAGGCTTAGCTTGGGTATCTGGGATGGGGCCAGTTAGAGGAGACTGCCTAGGAAGCGCATTTAAGCTGAGATGAAGGAGGCGATGTGTGTCAGGTGCTGCTGGTGGGAGAGTAACGCTCAGTGAACGAGGTAGGGGCGGTCCCACATCTGGGAAAAACGTCCAGGACAGTCGACAGGGCCAGAGCGGGTGGGATAGAGGGGATGAGAGGTGTTTGAATTTGGGTGAAATCTCAGAGCAAGACCGGCAGGTTCTTGGTAGACATTCAATACGTGTGGAGCCAATGAATAAATGAGCTTGGAATTTCAAACATGGGCTAAGAAGTGAGGGTTCTTGGGGCTGGTGTTGTGGCCCAACAGGTCAGGCTACTGAGTGACATGCCGGTACCCCATGTCGGAGTGCTGTTCTGTGTCTAGTTCAGCTCCCCTGTTACTCACGCGGGAGGCCCAGCTGGAGTTCTGAGCTCCTGGCTTTAGCCTGTCCCCACCCCGGCTGTTGGGGACTGAAACAGTGGTTGGAAGAGTTCTTCCACTTTCATTTGTTACTCTGCCTTTCAAACAAATAAGTTTTTTTTTTTTTAAGTGTATTTATTTTTATTGGAAAGATAGCTCTGTAGAGAGAAGGAGAGACAGAAAGAAAGATATTTTCACTGGTTCACTCCCCAGATGGCTGCATTGACTGGAGCTGAGCTTATCTGAAGCCAGGAGCCACATCTCCCATGTGGTTTAGGGTCCCAAGGCATCGGGACTGTCCTCCACTGCATTCCCAGGTCATAAGCAGCTTGCTGAATGGAAAGTGGGGCAGCTGGGACACGGATCAACAGCTGGGTGGGATGTAGACATTTAGAGGAGGGGGATCAGCCAGCTGAGCCATCAGGCTGGGCCCTGGCTGCAAGGCATTGGAGAGCTTTAGTAAAGGAATGACGGTGCTGTGGGTAGAAATATATGAACACAAGGTATTAATTGTAGAAAGAAGATTAGTTTGATTTTAGACACAGAGATCTTGGTCTAGTGTCTACCGAGAACTGAGCCACACAGTTCCAGATGCTGTTTGAAATGATGAGACTCAAGCAAGGGAGACAGCAGCTGGAGAGCTGTTCCCTGGGCCCTGCAGTCACAGGAGGGTGAGTGAGCGTGGAGTGAGGCGAGAAGCCCTGATCAGAGGGGCAGAACGGGGGATTTCATGAATGCTGTGGTCAACAGCCTCAAATGTGCAGAGGGTCACAAATGACAAATGCCACCACCTTCTGCAGTCTTACTGGTGGAGTGGGGGCAGTGAGGAAGGTGTGTATTTTGTACTCACAGGCCCTGGGCTCAGTCCTAGCTTAGCCTTTTACCACTGTTGGGACCTTGTGCAGTAGTTCCGGAATTGGAATGTTCTCTGCCTCTCAGGTTCATGGCTGACTACTTGTATTTGCATCTCAGAAGTTATTGTATCTCTCTTTGTCTATCCTTTTCTCTGTACATCTGCCTTTATAATAAAAAGAATCTTTAGAAATAAAGTTACTGTGAGATTCACATTTCAAAATACAGGTAGACCATTATTTCCTCCCCTCCCAACCTCCCACACACGTCCAGTGTCTCTAAAGGGACTTCCTTGGGTGTTTGTATGTGTTACTGCGACTTATGGTTTATTCGTGTTTCAACAGAGAGCAGACGAAGAGGCTGTGGTGGACCAGGGCGGCACCAGTACCATTCTTAATATCCACTATGAGAAGGAGGAGTTGGAAGGTGAGTCCTGGGTAGGGGTCAGAGGATGGGGAGGGGAATGGACCCGGGTGGGTCTGCCTCTGCGAGCACTGGGCTGCAGTCCTCGCTCTTCCCCAGGGCAAGGATCGTTTTATCTCTGTTAGCCTCAGTGTCCTCATCTGCCAAATAAAAATGGAGCCATGATACCAGCGCTGCCTGACAGCGCTGTCTTGTTGCCTGGGAGGCAGTGCTGTGAGCAGTGTCACGTCCAGTGTGGACACTCACGAGTAACTCATTCCCTGAGGCTGTGAAGCACCTGACCCTTGACAACTGCCTGGAAGTGTAACTATAGATAGAAAACCACCACTCGTTGTAACATCTCAGGTTTGCTGTATAACCATCTTATCCCATGTCCCGTATTAGCTCGTCCTAGCCTGATCTCATCTGAACAAGGGAAGGGATAACAGAAGCCCATCTGCAACATACTCTTTTTATTTTAAAGACTTATTTTATTTTTATTGGAAAGTAAGATATATAAGAGCAAGAGAGAGCGGAAGATCTTCTGTTCTCTGATTCACTTGCCAGTGCCTGCGATGGCCCGTGCTGCACCAATTCAAAGCCAAGAGCCTGGAGCTTCTTCCAGGTCTCCCACGTGTGTGCAGGGTCCCAAGGCTTTGGGCCGTCCTCGACTGCTTTCCCAGGTCACAGGCAGGGAGCTGGATGGGAAGAAGGGACTCTGGGATTAGAACTGGCATCCATATGGGATCCTGGCTTGCAAGGTGAGGATGTTAGCTGTTAGGATACTGCACTGGGCCCATGTGACACAGTCTTTCAAGAACTCACAGTGCAAGGTTCTGTCAAACTCTAGCCAGTAAAAGGGGAGGAAGTAGCACTTTGATTGACAGGCCATGTCCAGTTTACCCTCTTAAAGACCCTTCCTACTGTCTGCACTCCCCAACCTTCCTGCCTAACCAGAGTTTGGTAGCCTGCTTCCCCATTTCCCAGGGGACCTACTTGGAGCTCTTGCTGTGGCTTCCTGGTTTGATTAGGGAAGGCATGTGTCTAGTCCAGGTGGCCAGAGAAGGCACGTTGGGCCCCAGAGCCTTGCTCAAGTCCCTTGCAGCAGCCCCTGGACGGTTGCTGACCAGGACACAGCAGCACTGTGCTACCTGGGGCTGCGGGCGGGCCTTCTCTGCGCTCTTGCTTATTCCGTGGTGGGTTTGTCATCCAAGCTGCAGGGCCCCCAGGGGGGAGGCACTTGGCCTTCAGAAAGGGAGCAGCTGCAGAGCTGACTCAGCTTCCACAGTCGTTACCAGAACTGATGTGGGTGGCTCTGGGAAGGTCACTGGTGTTTGGGTATATCAGGGTTAAGTTTTCCAGAGTATTTTGAACTGATGTGGGGTTCAGCCATGAGGGCAAGTGGGGAAAAGAAAGGATGTGTGCTGATAGGTTCCCATTTATCCAGTGCCCCCGTGCATTCGGTGCTAGAGTAGTCCCCTTTTACAGGCTGCCTTCTTCCTCTTCGTAGCACCGCCACTGAGCAGGTGCCATCACTGTTCTACACGGGGGAGTCTGCACTGGGCTTCTGCTCTGCCCATCCTGCAAGCACTGCTCACGGGGAGGACACCCTCCCGCGCTAACCACCCATCCTTGGGAGTCCTATCTTGTCATGTCAACATCTTAAGTGTCTTCTTAAAGATTAATTCAGTCGTGCTAGTTTTGTGGCATAGTGGCTAAGGCCTGCAGTGCTGGCACTCTGTGTAAGCACCAGTTTCCATCCTGGTTACTCCGTGTCCAGTCCGCCTCCTTGTTAATACCCTGGAAAAGCAGTGGAGGATGGCCCAAGAACTTGAGAGCCCTTGTACCCATGTGGGAGACCCAGATGAAGCTCATGGCTTTCGCCTGGCCCAGTGCTGATCAGTGCAACCATTTGGGAGTGAACCATTTGGGAATAGAAGACCTCTCTGTCTTTTCTTCTGTGTATGTGTATGTAGAACTCTGCCTTTCAAATTCAAAAATAAAATATATATTTTAAAAATTAATTCAAGTAGTTTAAGCATTTATTTTCTTATTTGAAAGGTACAAATAGATATGTAGAAAGAGACAGAGATCTTACTGATCCTTCATGCCCTCAAAGGCAGCAGTAGCTAGGACTGGGCTGGGCTGAAGCCAGGAGTTAGAAATTCAGCCCAGGTCTCCCTTGGGGGTGGCAGGGATGTCACTGCTAACTCTTAGGGTGTACATTAGCAGGAAGCTGGGATTGGGAGCAGTGCCAGGACTTGAAGCAAGGCCCTCTGATGTGAAATGCAGGCATCTTAACCACCACCCCAGGGGCTGGTCCCCATGGAAACATTGTAATCTGTTGCTTCAGCCCTTCTTCCTGTCTGGATAATTCTGTGTGTCTGTCTCTCCCCATCATTACGCCTTTAGGGCCCATGTTCTAACCTTCATTTTTGGTTTTTGTCCTCCTGTGAACACCCCCTGGACCTTTGCTCCCAGCAAGGAAGTAACCATTCATGAGCATGCTTGTCTCCTTGGAAGTAGAATAATAAGCCTGGACAGGCGCTTCTGGTTCCCGCAGTCAGGGTTCCATCCGCAGTAGCTCCTGAGTCACTGGCAGCAGGACCAGCTTCTCCTGGTGACACAGTATCTACCTTCCTGGAAGCCACTCAGATGACACCTGCTTCTGGGGACTCTGGCACCAGGGGAACTCAGGACAATTGCTTTAATCAGAGGAATGGCTTTTTCCATTTTTTTTTTCTGGCAGGTCACTAATAGCTGATTAACAACTTGATTTATGATTCCTGTAGGAAGCTTAATGCCTTCTAATATTTTCTTTTTAAACAAAGGTGAGAGCCAGTTGACCATTTTACAGCTGAAAAAAAGAAAGACTTGCATCTGTTCCACGTGTTAGATTCGCCTTTGTGGTTGTTGACTGACCCAGCCGCTCAGCTCAGAGGAACCTTGTGCCCTTTGGCAGGTTCTAGTGACGTCTGAGTGAGCGCCTGGCGCGTGGTGCCCGGGTACTGCGCTGGGCCTTGGGCACCCAGTCACCATACGCAGGGTGGGGTATGCTGTGATTATTCTCCTGCTTGGTGAGGTTTGGCACGAGTTTACTAATGATTGTTCTCTGTATGGGATAAAATCTTGCCTTCTAAACATATACACCCAAATTATATCTTTCTCATCAGTTTTACTAAATCAGAATACTTTATTTATACAGAGCCCAAAAGACTAGGTTTGACACTCTGACTGCAAAAAGAGTGGGAAATTGTCTGGGAGGAGATGGGGTTGGGTAAGTTAGACGTAGGTGAGACAGCCCGAGCCTGTGACTGGCGAAGTGACCACAGGGTTAAAGGAGTGAGGTCACTGGCCTAGAAATCAGGGTCGGCTTCCTCACAGTTGCTTGGACCTTCTTAGAAGAAAGCATCTTCCTCTAAGACTTCAGCGGTACCTTCAGAACTGGCAGACGTCTGCAGGATGACTCCAGCTGTGGCTCACTCCTGCCTGGTGGGGATTTAGAAAGCAGAAACACAGCTGCTTCCTTGGCGGCCATTGACTGAACCCCCTCTGTGGTCCCTGTCTACAGCAGGAAGCAAGGACAGTGACAGGATCTGAACCACTCTGTCTCCTCTAAAGACGGGCCTAGCACAAACCTTCCCTAAGGACTCCAACTTTAGAACCTGGACTTGCCCAGTGTCTAGGCACTAGCCCAGGGTGCCTCTTGGTCTGACCTCTTTGCTTAAATCTGGTGATAACAATGAGGCCATTAACCAATAAGGTGGCATCTAATAAAGTGGGTTCAATTAACCCATGCATTGCCTCTCTAAGCTCCCAGCCTTCTTGGCAGTGTGAACCAAAGGAATAGTGGAGGCCGTTGGCTGAGTCTTTATCCTCTGGGGATTTGCAGGGGCGAGGGAGCAGGCTTGGGGGGCTGCATGGAAAGCTGAAGATCCTTCCTCAGGGAGCCATTCAGTAGCCCAGTCTAGCTCAGCCTAGGTGCGGCGAGTGTTACAGCGCCCAGGACACCAAGTGGAGGCCAGTGAGGGTTCTTCTCTAGGATGCAGGTTTCTCGTGGTCCAAGGATCCTGCATGCTCTGTCCTTGCCTTTGTAACCCCTTCCTCCTCATTTCCTTCTCCGCTTTTCCATCCTGCTCTAGCCCTGCTTGCTGTCCGTGTGCCTTGGAACCAACCCTACCTGCACTCACCAAGGGGCCTGTGTGTGTGTGCATGTTCCCTTCCTCTCCCTGGATTCCCCTTCTCGCACGCCCTGCCCTGGTCTCTCCTTCTCAGGTGTCCTTCTAAGCATCTTAGCTCAAGTCTCCATTCTCCAGCCAACCCCTGCCCACATACTCTGACATTATCTTGTTTGATTCACAGCATACACTATTTGATGTGATTTTGTTCTCTGTTTTTCCTGACTAGAAAATGTGTCCTGGGGCCCTTGTGCTGCCCGCTGCTGATCCCCTGCCTTTGGGACAGAACCTGGCACAATTAGTTGCTACTGGGTTGCTGCTGATGCCACCAGAGTTCCTCTCCACAGACATAGATAGTGGGCCATTATTGGCTACTGAATGCTAATGTGGGTCCTTGATTAAGGTGATATTCAGTGTACTCATGCTTGAATTGGATGTACTTTATAGTTCACATGATCATGTCAGAGGTCAGGAATCTTGCATCTTAGCTGGTGACCTCCTCCAGCTCCAAGTTTCTGTTTCTGTCCGTTTGTAAAATGGTTATAGTGTGTTCAGAGATCTGCCTATCATAAACGCCCTGAGATGTGAGCAAGGCAGCCCAGGGCTGCCCTGAGGCAGGACGAGGGTCAGGAGTGTGACTCCATCAAAAACCAGATGGAGTTGGTCCTCCTGTGCCTGTCAGCGCTCCAAGAAATCTCTGATCATCTCCTTTCCTAATGCTGATTCTGTTCTGGAGGGCAGAACACAGCAGCGGGGCTGGGTGGGTAGAGGGGTGGAGAAGCAGGAGTTGAGCCGCACCCAAGGCACTGTGACCCCATTTGGAAGCAGGTGCAGTGTCGGGAAATCCTGTAGCAGGAGAAGGAAGGAGAGGAAGGGGTGACAGTCCCTGCTTGAGGTCTCTTTCTCTGGGCTGGCTTCCTGTGTCAGCCTTCCACCCTCGGCTTGTTCAGAGCCTTCACCTCATACGCCCTGCTCAGAACGCCCTACCCCGCCCTGGGCTCCACATGGGCTCTGTGTTCCTTCTGTGGCTGGTTCAGGTGAGAGGCCCTCTCAGGCCAGCCGGGGTGCTCCTGAGGTGGTTTCTCTCCCAGGAGAAGCCATCTGCTGATTACTGTGGCATGATGGCTGTGTGATCAGACGCTGGGGACCACATGGGAATTCTGAGAGGAGGCCAGGACACAAGGCTTGGCGCTAACTGCCAGTGAGTAGTGGGAGGTAACACAGACAGCCTTTCCTGCAAAGTGGTATATGAGAGATGTGTTTGCCTAGGGCCCTGGGGTTTTAGGCCGAGGAGATAACATATCTGATGACGGAATCAGAAATAATACTGAGAATGAAGATGCATTTGTAGTGAATCTTGGCTGAGTGGGCCAGGTCAGCCTGCAGAAAGCACAGGTACATTGGGGGATGGCAGTGTGGTTCCACCAGAGACATGTGAAGTGATGGTAGGCGTAGCAGCCAAAGCCGTGAGGAAGAGATGGGGTTCAAACCAGACTGATTCATTGTTAGGGTACATGCAGATATACCTGTCTCTAGATTCTCCCCCACTGCCCGATTGTTTATTCTGCACACACATGTGGTGTGTCCACTTTTATCTCTTTTGAGCTGATTACTGAGGTTTTGGGGAAGTCTTTTCACATTGAGGTAAAATTTGTCCTAGACTAGAAAAGAGGCTGAGGACTGAGCAAGCGCGTAGGGTCCTGAACTCATTGGAATGAGCTGTGACTAGCAGTGTTAATGTGGGGCAGAAAGAAAGCCCTGGCTTTGTCAGAGCAGAAGCGAAAGGTGTGACATCCCTACACAGTGAGTGACAAAGGGGTGCAGCTGGAGTCGTAGAGAACTGGGGTTTCATGGTTGGAAAGTTGAGAGAATGGCAATTCCTTGGAGAGAAACATGGAAGAAATGGATCTGAATATGATATGGGATGGAGGATGGTGAGTTGGCTGTGGGACACATTGAATCACTTATCGGTCAGGATTTGGGAGTCTTGTAAAAGCTTTGAATTAGAAGAATGATTAGCAGTTAAAGCAACGACTGGGGATAGAAGCACAGGGAACCTTCATTTTGTGAGCTGTGGAGGGATGGAGAAGCAGCACAGGGAGAAGGAGTTTGAGCCAGGAGGCAGAGTGGGACAGGAGCCAAGGGTGGCCAGATCACCCAACAGGCAGATGTGCTCAGAGATGGTGGCAAGCTTGGGGTGGGCTCTGGGAAGTGAGGTGAGTAGAGGAGGATGAGAGCTGATGGTTAGGGGCTGTCTGGTCCCTAGTGAGGTGGAGTCAGAAGCCACTTGAAGAGGTGGGCATTTGGCCTACTGATTATAATGCTGTTTGGGACTCCTTGGTCCCATGCCTGAGTTTGGTTCCAGTCGCCGCTCTTGACTCCAGCTGCCCACTAACATGCACTCTGGGAGCTGACAGCAGTGTCCTTGGGTCTCTGCTGCCTTGTAGGAGACCTCGGCTGAGTTTTCAGTTCCCGGATTCAGTCTAACTCTGCCCCGCATATTCCAGGCATTTGGGTAGTGAATCAGTGGGTACCACCTGTGTGTGTATTATATGTCTGCCTCACCAATAAAAGTAAGCAAATGAATGTAGAGGATTAGCACAGCTCTGGGAAGTTATCTAAGTCAGGAGAAGCCTATGAAAGGAATGTGTGGAAAGGAAAGACCAAGGGTAGTAGATGCAGCAAGAACTCCAGAGGGGTGGGAGGTGATGGGGCTGGAGCCATGCTTGTGGCCTGGCAAAGAGGAGGCACTGGGGGAGGAGAGCCAGCCAGATGGAGCTGAAGGAAGTTCACCTGAGAGGGCCCAAGTCTTCTCCCTAGAACTGAAAGCAGGCTCACTTATTCGGAGGAAGGGATTATGGGTAAGCTTGTGGATTTGAAGAGTGTGGCTAAAAACTGGGATGGTGTTCTGATGGAAGATGTGGAGAGTGGATCTGAGGCCTTGGGGACAGAAAAGCAGCAGTTGGGTAGAAACGGGGCAAGCCCAAGGCTCTGGTGTTGGGGCCCTGAAGGTACTGATTCTGGGCCTCTGGGTTGGCAGGAAAGCAGGTGCAGCAGGTGGAGGATCCAAGCAAGTAGGCTGATGGAGGGAAGAGGCATTAGGAGAGGAAGAGTGAAGAGTGATACCAGGTCACTTTTGCTTCCTTGTTCTCCTTCACGGCACAGTATGTAATTTTTTTTGGGGGGGGGGTTGGTTATTTGGCCTTGTGGATAGGATACCGATTTTCCACATTGGAGTACCTGGGTTCCATATCCTGCTGTGTCTCCTGACTCTGGCTGGCTTCCTGTTAATGCAGACCCTGAGAGGCATCGATGACGGCTCTGGTAATTGTGTTCCTGGCACCCATCTGGATGGCACGCCCAGCTCCTGGCTTTGGCCCTGACCCAGCCCTGCTGTCCTGGGCACTGGGGAGCTGAAACAGCAGAGGGGAGTGTGTGCACGCTGCCTCTCAGATTAATAAAAAGTATTTTTTTGACACTAGCCTCATGTTCCTTTTTAAAAAAGATTCTTTTTATTGAAAAGGCAGATATATAAAGAAAAGAGATACAGAGAAAGATCTTTCATCCACTGGTTCACTCCCCAAGTGACCGTAATGGCTGGAGCTGAGATGATCTGAAGCCAGGAACCAGGAGCTTCTTCTGGGTTTCCCACACAGGTGCAGGGGCTCAAGGCTTTGGGCCGTCCTCGACTGTTTTCCCAGGCCACAAGCAGGGAGCAGGGTAGGATGTGGAGCAGTAAGGATATGAACCAGTGCCCATATGGGATCCTGGCACATGCAAGGCAAGGACTTTAGCCTCTAGGCTATCATGCCAGGCCCATTCCTTATGTTTTATAACTGGTCATTCCCTGTCATTCTAGATTGTATATTCTATAATACAGAAAAGAAAAAGCAAATAACAGTAGCTGATCTTAGAATATGCTTGCCGGCTGCCAAAAATTTCTTCTGGTTATTGTTTTAAGCATTTACATGCAATCATATTTACTGCTTATAAAAACCCTGCAAGTTTAGTTAGTAAACTTTTAGTATGCCTTTACAAAGACAAGTCCCAAGGGTAGGTGTTTGGCCTGCTGGTTAAGATGTTGCTTAAGGTGCGTGCATCTCAGTATTGCAGGATTGGGTTTGAGTCGCAGCTCCACTCCAAGGTGTTGGGTTAGGGTTGAGGTTAGGGTTGAGGTTAGGGTTAGGGTTGAGGTGCCAAGCGGTGGCTGGGGCACTTTGGTTCCTGCCATCATCATTGCCTCTCAGGTCTGCACTAGTGGGAAGCTAGATTGAGTTTCTGGTTCCTGGTTCTGTACCTGGGTCAACTCTGGGCGTTTGGGGAGCAAACCAGCAGATCGGGACACACACTCTTTCTGCCCTTCCTCCCGTATCCTGTCTTCCTCTCAGGTTTTTGTTCTGTTGTTGTTTTTAGAATTGAAAAATGGAAAAACTAGATGATCTCAAGAGCATGCAATTAATAAGAAGCCTGGGACCCAGGCAGACTGATTTAAACTTGAAGTGTTCTTACTCAGTTTTCTAATCTGACATTCTGCTAACACTGAGGACAAGTATCACAGAGCAACGGCATGGCCTTTTTAAAAAACCACTCAGCCACTGTGTCCTCGCAGTGCAACCGTGAAGAGAGTAAGACTTCTGTAGCCTGAAGATCACTTTTGTGCACATTATGCCAATCCCTATGAGGTTTGCTCCTGCACGCAAGGGACGAGAACTTCAGTCTGGGACCTGTATGCCTTTAGTTCCAGAAGTCTTTGAAGTTCCGTCATTGTGCACCTGTGATCAGGCTGAAGCGCTCTTGTCTTTTTCCCCGTTAACGGTGTGATGCTCCTTGGCCTGAAAGAGCCTCTCCATGGACCTTCTGTTCCTTTCCAGGTCACAGGACCCTGTATGTGGGCGTTCGGATGCCCCTGGGTCGGCAGAGCCATCGGCACCACCGCACCCACGGGCAGAAGCACCGGAGACGAGCGCGGGGCAAAGGAGCCAGCCAGGGGGAGGAAGGCCTGGAAGCCCTGGCCCACGGTAACCCCCTTGCTGGAGAGGGCAGGTGTCTGTGCCTGGGAGCTTGGGGATGCAGAAGGAGAGTGGGGTGCACTCCTGTGGTAGGGTCTTCAGAGCTTCTCTCTGGGAACAAGAAGAAATGCTGTTGATGAAAACTTAGCAGCTCTTGCCCACCCAAGTCAGTACCATGGCCAGTGAAATCATTTGCCAGAGAATTAGCCATTCTTTTTCTTTAGACTTGTTTCCTGTTTGTTGCAGGTTTTCTTTCAGGTATGTGTTAGTTATTTGATCTCTATTGTGAAATGTCCAAAGCAAGCTAATTTACAAAAGGAAAGGGTTTATTTGCTTCACGGTTGTGAAGGTCCAAGCCCAGAATCGAGCAGCCCCACTGATTTGGCCTCTTGGGAGGACAGCAGCTCGCAGTGGTGGAGCACACGCAGAAGGCTCGTGCAGCAAGTCGGGAGCAAGCAGAGAGACTGCTCCAACTAGGGCTTTTGTAGCAGCTGTTTCGTGGGAAGTCCAAGGGCAGGGACCGGCAGCCTAAGGGACCTCCCACTCGGCCCCGCCTCCTGACACCCTCCCTGGGTTAGGCTCCCACCCTCGCTTGTGGCTTTGAAGTTGAAAGAGCTCAGGCGGTGAGAAGCCAAACCACAGTCCACCATACAAAGTGGACTTAGCTCATTAACTTTTCCTCCCTTGAGACTGCTTCCACAGAATAGCTTTTTCTCCGAGAATAAAGAAATCTTTTTGATCTACACTCAGGATTTCTTTTATACAGCCCTGAAGTGAGTTGGCAGGTAGGAAACTGTGTTTCAAGTCCAAGGCTAGACACGGACCTTCCCCTGCTTGATTTCCTAGACACACCATCGCAGCGTGTTCAGTTCATTCTTGGCACCGAGGAAGATGAAGAGCATGTGCCTCACGAGCTGTTCACAGAACTGGATGAGATCTGCCTGAAGGAAGGAGAAGATGCCGAGTGGAAGGAGACTGCCAGGTAAAAGAACCGTTAGAAGTGGCCCGGCTGCAGAGCTGCTGGGGAGGGCACGGGTGTGTCTGTCGGCAAGGGACACACCCGCCGGCCTCGTGTTCTTGGGAGAAGCACAGGACTGATGCTGAAGACTCCCCTGATGGAATCTTGGTATTGATTCCATAGCCAAGGTCAACAGTGCCATGTTCAGGGTCAGTGCCATGTTACTGGTCTGCCTTGGAGACAAACAAAGCTAAATTGATTGGAGCCTAGTCTTGAAAAGGTCCACGCAGGTGTACCTTAGGACCATTTGAGTTTAATTCACTGACAGCTGCAGAAGCCTTGAGATTTTAACTTCTCTTGGACAGTGCAACACGACAGAGACTCTTGGATTTATGCTAAACTCCCTGGGGTCACTGTGTGGTAACTATACTTACCTGAGATTCAAATCCCAGAAGGGCCTCAGTGTTAACCAGAGCTATGTCCCAGCTCCTGTAGGGACTGACCAGCGAGCCTTACAAATGCTTCAAAGCCAGAACCTTGGGGATGGAGGCAATATGGGCAACTGTCAGAGCAGACTTCCAGTTGGTACGGACACGGGTCTTCCTGGATGCCCGCTGCCTGATTGATGTTTTGTAAGGGTTTGTTTGAACACAGAGGATTAAACAGGGCAGCTGCTTACTACCTGACGCCCCACTAAAACGCAATTGGTCTTTTGTCATTTGGTCTTTGCAAACTTCTGCAGGTCACACAGGTGTTGATAAAAAGAAAAATATTATCCTTTTATTACTGTGATTTGTCAGTGTGTCCTACTGATAATATCTATCTTTGATGATATATATAGTTTGATTATCTATAGAAAGTCCGAAAATAAGTGAAAAGAAAGTGAAAGTTACCTGTAATTCCACTACCCCATGGATAATGAGTGTAATATTTGGGGTCTTATGCGTATAGAAGCCAAGAGAAGAGACTTTTGGCCTTTTAGTATCAGACCCTGCAGAGGTCAGATGACACGAGCAATGGCAGCTCCCGTGGGGTGATCCGCTGCAAACCCAGTGAAGATTTTGTCAGAAGCACTCCCATTGGGGTAGCCAAGTTGCATGAGGGCTAAGACATTTTTCTTTCACAAATTTTTGTCTGAAAGTAGAAGAGAAGAAATAGGTACTGGGAGATTCTCAGATGGCCATGCTTTTCAAATTTTCTTTAAATGAAACTGGAATTGGGGCATGCGTTTGGCGCAGTGGTTAAGCTGCCTCTTGGGATGCTGGTGTCACATATTGGAGTACCTGGGCTTCAGTTTAGGCTCTGTTCTCAATCCCAGGTTCCCGCTAATGCGCACGCGGGGAGGCAGCGGGTAAAGGCTCTAGGCCCTGGATCCCATCATGGGAGACCAGAACGGAGTTCTAGACTCCCGATGTTGTGGGCATTTGGGGAGTGAACCAGTAGACTGTAGATCTCTGTCTTTGTGCACCTACCTACCTTTTAAATAAAGAATAAATAAATAAAATTTTTAAATGTCATTTTAAAAATAAACAAAAAATGGAATTAAACTGTACTGTCTTGCAGTGTTCTGAAACTCTCTTTTTTCACTTTCCAACGTCCATTGAATATACACATTACATTTTATGATGTTCAGTGCGGCTGTTCAGCTGTTTTTCTCAGCAGTGTATTTTCAAAATGTCTGCTGAAAGTTCCTGTCTACCTTTAGCATCCAGTTATTTGTAATGCTTTCAGGTGGCTGAAGTTTGAAGAAGATGTTGAGGATGGGGGAGAACGCTGGAGCAAGCCTTATGTGGCAACCCTGTCATTGCACAGCCTCTTTGAGCTAAGGAGCTGCCTTATTAACGGAACTGTCCTTCTGGATATGCGTGCAAACAGCATAGAAGAAATTTCAGGTAAGGTTAGGTGACGGAAAAGAGGAACTTCTGGGCAAATTAGAGGAAAGAAGGAAGTGCTTGTGTGTCCTCGGGCGAGTCACAGCCTTTCCTCACCTTCCAGCGAAGCCCCGCCTCACCTGTTTCACTGGCTTATTATGGACGACAAGGGACATGCCCTTAGATTCCCTTTTGTCTGCTGATTTAGTAAACAGTTGGTGACTACTATGCGCTTGATACTGTGCTAGGCACAGGGAGCAGAGGAGCGGATCTTCAAAAAGTGGAGAATGTGTTAGAAGCAGTGTATAAGGTTTCAAAACAGCTTTTTGCCTCAGAATAAACTGATTTTTAAATTTGTTTCACCGGCAACTTTTTGCAGTCCCCTTGTAGGGATGGGACCGTTGCTGCCTTCAGGGAGCTCTACCTGCTGCTGGGGAAGTGGGCCTACCTGCTGCTGGGGAAGTGGGCCTACTTGCTGCAAGGGAAGTGGGCCTACCTGCTGCCGGGGAAGTGGGCCTGCCTGCTGCCGGGGAAGTGGGCCTACCTGCTGCCGGGGAAGTGGGTCTGAGAACAGCAGTGAGAGCAAGTGCAGCAGAGATGTGCTGGGCGATGGTTAGAGAAAGGAGTAGGTGGCAGTTTTTGCAAAGAGGAGAGTCAAGGAGAATGAAGATCTTTTAATAAATTAATTTTTAAATATCATTTTATGACACAGTTTCATAGGTTCTGGGATTCTTCCATCCCCTCCCCAAGTCCTCTCCCCATATTGAGTTCCTCCATATTGTTACAGTAATACAGTTCATATCCAGTCATGATTCCTTCATGGCGGGCATGGACCATGTAGAGGGTCCAGCATCTTATTGTCCAGATAAATTCAACAGTTTCATTGGGAGACCGTCCTTGGTCTGAAAGTAGAGCTGGCAGAATATTATCTCAATGAGATGTCACTACACAACTTCAACAACAGGAAGAAACATTGAAATTAACAACATCAGGAAGTTAATTAACATGGTATTGAGTGACCAATATGTTAGAAAATGCAAGTTCTTAACCGCATCCTGTAACTACTTCCTTGGCATATCAATTTTAGTATACACAACCAGCTGCTATAAACCTTTTTTTTTTTTTTCCATCTCCCAAGCTACCATGTTTTTGAGTTTAACCTAAATCAGAGTGGCACAGGAACAGTGGAAGGATCAACATTAACATCATATATGTAACAGCTGAGTACAAACTTAACATCAAAGTTTCTATGCAGTTACATCTTGTTTAGCATTAACAGTCATAAACTGATAAAGTATTTTGGGGACAAAATTAAGCCACAATTTAAACTTTGCAGTATATAGTGGTTAAGCATGGTTTTATAGAACTTTGCATTTTAACAATTGAAGAATAGAGAAGTTTTAGGCAGGTTAGCAGGGAAAGCTCCAACAACCCAGTGAGTGAGGAAGAATTAAAGATCTTAAAGGCAGATGGGCCTGGATAGAGCCATAGTGCTCACCTGGCTTCAGCATGACGTTCAAGGCAAAAGTGTGTTGTGATGTGAGGGACTGTTGAAGGATTGTGTTTTAGGAACAGGGTTGGAGCAACACTTGTGTAGCACATGGGAACTTCTCCTTTCACTTGGCTGTTCAGCTGGGCAGGTTACAGATATTTCCATTTCAAGTATTGAAGCTATTCTGCCTCTCCAGGGGCACACAAACACCCAGGGGAGGAGTCAGCTGATGGGATCCTGTGTCCCCTCCTTTTCAAGATTTCCAAAGTCCCACTGATTGCCTGGGAGAGGCAGAACTCACGGGGATCATAGCCATAGTTTGGTAACTTTTTTTGTGTGGCTGAAGGAAAGATCCTTGTGTTAGGTAGAAGCCCTGGGAGATTTGCTTTTCTTCTTCTTTTTTTAAAAATTTATTTTTGAAAGGCAGAGTTAGAGAAAGAGAGAACTACCACCTGCCAGTTTACTTCCTAGATGCTCACAATGGCTAATGCTGGCCCAGGCTAAAGCCAGGAACCAGGAGCTTCATCCAGGTCTCCCACATGGGTGGCAGGGATCCAAACACTTGGACCATCCTCTGTTGTCCTTTCCTGGCCATTAGCAGGATGCTGGATCAGAAGTGGAACAGCTGGGACACAACCAGCACCCGCATAGGATCTGGCATCACAGGCAGTGGCTTTACCCACCACGCCACAGTACCCAGCCCCTAGCTTTTCTTTATAAAAATACTCACCAAAACTTTAAAAATTTTGATCTTAATATTGTTTATAAAGTTGGAAGGGATACATGCTCATGTGGGCCTCCAATTAGGGTGGAGAGGATCAAGGTATGGAGGAAGGTGAGTGAGACAAATGTTCTTCTCTTTTTTATTCTCCTGACCTTCTGGGGGAAGGAAGGAGAAGGGGCCACTCTTTGCTGTCAGACTACATCAACACCTGGGGATGGGTAACAGTCATTTGATGATGCCTTAGAATGTTCTGAGGGTGTTCCTTGAATAGTTATGATAGTTCTGAGATATTGTTGGCTTTAGTGCACCACGGTTGAGGAAAGTCTTTCTCAAGTCTATTGGCGGACCAAGTCCACCTCAGTGTACATCTGTAGACCCAGATACTCGCTGCAAAGCTTGGCCAAGAGAGTTGTCAAACCTGTTCTGCTTTCCATCCTCTGAAGAGGCGCTTGATGTCCTCTGCTGGCCTAGATGAGCTGGCCATCATGTCCCCCTTGTGCATCTAGTGATGTCCCTACACAGGCACCAGCAATCAAGGAGGCCTAGTTCCAATACATGCACTCCAAGGTTGGACCACATAGCTTGTGACTTTCCCTATGGCTGAAATTTGAATCCAGTGATCTAGTTGGGGAGTCCCTCAAGAAATACTGCCTATGGTGACTTTAGACTTGACTCTTGTGTGTGCACCAGCTAGTTCAGAGTCAGGTCCACTCCGTCTCCTGCACCAGCCAACGCACATACTGGTGATGCTGCTGCCTCGTTAGTTCCTCCCCAGCCCCATCTCTCAGGTGAACTGACAGGTGCTATGACCTAGCCCAGCCTAGCCTGCCATAGGCCTGGTCTTCACACACATTAGCAAATGCCATGACCTAGTTGGGGTGACCTCCAATAACTCCCACTAGACCTGCCTCCAATCTTGGTTTTTGCTTGTACCAGATCTAGCCTGGTCTGTCCCACGTCCCATCTGGCTCTCTTGCTCACCCGTGAATGCTGTAGGTTAGTTCAGCCTGCCCCAACCCCAGATCCGGTCCACATATATGCTGATGGGTACTGCTGCCTTGACCAGACTGGCCTGCCCACAGCCCTGGCTCTCATGCTCACCAGCGGGACCTGTAGTGCAGCAAAGTAGTACCCACAGTTCCCTTACCAGCTCCCCTTCCAGCCCCGGATCTTATGTCTGCCATGGGGTAGTGAGGTCCAGCCTGACGTGACAGGCATCTAGTCCTGGCACTTGCCGTTGTGTGCTGCTGCCCAGTTTGAGATGGCCTACCCCATTCCCAAATGGTTACAACAGTCAGGACTCTGAGCTGGGCTAAAGTCACGTGTTAGGAACTCTACCCAAGTCTCCCATTACGTGGCAGGAATTCAAGTACTTGAGTCATCCTCTGCTGCTTCCAGGGTGCATTAATAGAAAACTAGATTGGGAAGCTCAGCAGCAGCTAGATTGGGACATAAACTGGCAGTCCAGTATGGGCAGCATTCCAAGCAAGGGCTTACCCACTGCATCACAACACCTGTTCTCCACTGCCCCTGCAGCCTTTGAAACTGTTTATACTTATGTAAACAACAGGGAGCCACTGGTGAGTTGATGACAACTAAATTTGGCATGTTAGAACTAGAATGATGATCGCAAATACAGAGGGTGGGTGAGTTGGAGGGGAAGTGGGCTGTGACAGTTGACTATACCATCAGCGGCTGTTGACTGTAGCAGGTAGGAAGGAGCGGAGACAGATCCCAGTGAGATTGAGGAAGTAGAATTGTTGAGAATAGTCTGGCAAATGTTTGGGGAAAATAAAAGGAAAAGAGTCAGGGATTCCAAGTTTGGTTTTGAATGTGCTAAATTCTAAGGGTCTGCGGACATCTCGATGGAAATCTATTGGGTAGTTGGAGCCAGCACTTAGAAGACTGTAGGTAGCTGATACTTACAGTCTTGAAATAGTTGATATTATGAAGGGAGAAAGATCAGAAGGCTGTGACAGAAAAGGGGAACTGCGAAGTTTCAGGGTGGCTTTGAGGGGCTTGTGGTTAGGTTGGAAGAAGTAAGAGTGCCAAGGACATGGAGAAGGAGTGCTCATAGGGGTTGGAGGACAATCAAGGAATGGTCATATAATCTGAATTGCTTCCGATGACTTCCCATAAACTTGGCGATTTAAAACAACAGCTTTTTTTTTTTCACTCGTACAGTTCTGGAAAGTCAGAAGTTCAAAATCAAGTTATTGGCAGGACCTTATCCTCTCTGCAAACTCCAGAGAGAATTAACCCTTGTTGGGTTCAGCTTCTAGCTTCTGGTGGCCTCAGAGCTTCTTGGTTTGTGACTGTATATCTCTAATGCCTGCCTCTGTCCGCACATGTGTTTCTTCCAAGTCTCTCCCCTGGGCATCTTCTTAAAGGATATTTGCCATTGGATTTAAGACTTACCCTGATAATTGAGATGCTTGATTTAATCACATCTGCAAAGACTCCCTTTTTACAAATAAAATCACATTCACAGGTTCTGGGGTGGACATTAGGATGTAGACATACCTGCCGGAGGCCACCATTGGGCCAGCTCTAAAAGCCGAGAGAAGAGATTTCGATCTACCAGAGTCAAAAGCTCATAGAGGTCAGGTGAGAGGAACACTGGAAGCTCCATTGGATTTAGCAACAGGAAGGTTAGTGATGGGTTTATCACAAGAAGCCCCGCTGCCATAGTCAAATTGCAAAGAGCTAAGGATTTTTTGTGTGTGTGTGTGAACTTTTAGATGGTAGGAGAAAGAAAAGGAAGATCTGGGGTGCTGGTTCATTTGTTTCCTCAAGACGGAGGATCCTGAAACACTGTCATAATGTGGAAGGAAGGAACCAATCAGTAAAATGGTTAAAGAAACCTAATTGAAGTAGATTTTCCTCGATCATTGATTCTAGTACTTGGATAGTCATGGGGGGTGAAGTTAGAAATTGAGAATAGGCAGAAGTTTGGGGAGAAGTGTACAGGATTGAAGTGGAAGTTTAGTTCTCACATCAGATTCCTAGCGTTTTCCCACAATGTTAGTGATGAGGAGAACTAACCTGTGTCATCAGCTCATCTAATTTTCCATAGCAGTCTTCCAAAATGGGATGATAATATTGGCACTCCACATTACAGATGAGGAAACTGAGTCTCGGAAAGATTATGTAACTTGCCCAAGGTTGCATAGCTAAGAAAAATTGTAGGACTGGGGTGGAATGTGTGCCTTTAGCTAGCTGCCTGTCAACACCAGGCACTGGGGTTTCCCCCTCTCCATTCTGTGGGACATGACAAGTTTCTTGAGAGCTTGTTTGGAGGTTCTAACAGGGCAATGCAGCTACGCGTATACCCTTGACCGAAAACTGGTCCTGCTCTAGCGGGATGGTCATCCTCTTCAAACGAGCATGCAGCTTTAGGAGGGACGCACATGGAGCAGTGAGGGAGGAAGGGGACACCCCCGTAGCCAACCAGATCGGCCGAATCAGCCCTGGCGATCAGTGGGGTGACAGATATTGTAGCCAGATCGCCATCACATCCAGGAAATGAGTTTCTTAACCAGAGTCTCAATGGCCAGGCTAAAATCCTGCCCCTGTCATTCCTCCTGACAGTCACACCAACGTTAAAATCTTGGGGGAAGGGCCTGTAGGGGGCTTTTGGGAGATGATAGAACTAAGCAGGTAATATTGAAAACTTTCAGCTTAGTCCTGGGTTTGAATCCCAGCTCTATAGCCTATTAGATATGAGACCTTGGAGGAATTTTGTAGGGTTTCAACCCTCATTTCCTCATCTGTAAAAGTTGCTTTAATAATATCTACTTCTCAGTGCTGTCAGGATTAGACTAGATAATATATGTATTTTAGTTTCTGGTGTATATTAAGTGCTCAGTAGTTTTAATTCATAATAATAATAATAATGATTTATTACATGAACAAAGTGTAACTTTTCACAGCCATGGTCTCAGGCAGCTGTTTCAGACCCTGGGGCTGAAATCATGCCTCCCCCTGCCTCGCCTCTTGCCCAGGCCCAACCCCATGTTGGCCTCCGAGGACTCACCAATCCTCAGGCTGCATGTTCATGTGAGTGCCTGCTTTGCAGACCTGATCCTGGACCAGCAGGAACTGTCCAGTGACCTGAATGACAGCATGAGGGTGAAGGTGCGGGAAGCCCTTCTCAAAAAGCATCATCATCAGAACGAGAAGAAGAGGAACAATCTCATCCCCATTGTCCGTTCCTTTGCCGAGGTCGGCAAGAAGCAGTCCGACCCACACTTGATGGATAAACACGGTAGGGTGACTGGGAGGGATTGTTCTCTGTATTAATGTAACATTCGGGCACTAGTAGGAGGTGCTGAGTCATGGGGAAGTGGGGGCTGTATCTGTCTAGTATGTTTCTACATCACCTTAGACACCTAGGATGTTTGGTAAGATGACTGGCTGGCACTGGTGCACATCTCTTGCAGTGCTGCATTTCTGTGGACCTGACACATGAGATTTGTCCCCCCCTCCCTCAAACGATGTGCCCTTTGGGAGATATTCAGGGTCAGGATAAGTTGGGCCAGAGAAGGTGATTCTAGGAGGGGGAGGTAAAATCTTATTGTGTGAGCCCTTGAGTCACTCATGAGCTTGTCGTCATGGCTTTACTACCTTGAAAAGTGTGACGTCAGGTGGCCTACCAAACCTCTTTATCACCTGTGATATAGGGGTAACTAAAGGACCTACTCCCCAAGTTTATTGTGAGGCTTCCGTGAGTGAAGCCATGTTAAGGCCATAGTGCAGCATGGCAGGTAGACACTCCATGAAGCTTGGCTGTTGTTGTTGGCTCCATTTCAGGGAGGGGCCAGCCAGGCTCTCCTCTCTGTTCATCCACCGGCCTCCACATCTGCTGCATCCCTGGGCAGGGGCATGCCCAGGTGTCCACAGGGTGGGACATGCCCAGGTGTCAGCAGAGTGGGGCATATCCAGGTGTCCGCAGAGTGGGACACGCCCAGTGTCCGCAGAGTGGGATAGCCCCAGGTGTTCACAGAGTGGGACATGCCCATGTGTCCACAGAGTGGGACACGCCCAGTGTCTGCAGAGTGGGACACACCCATGTGTCTGCAGAGTGGGACATACCTGGGTGCCCACAGAGTGGGACATGCCCAGGTGCATGGGGGTCTCTGCTCCATCCTTCAGGTTCAGGCTTGCGGCTTTGCCGGAGACCCGAAAGAGGCTTGCGAATGTGCTCAGGAAGAAAAGACACAGTGGCAGGACCCTTAGCACCGAGTGTTAGGCAGGAAGCCAGGGAGGAGCAGAGCTGGCTTCCTGGCCGCCAGTTCTCCGTGTGGACTGTGGGAGCAGACGTGGCTAGGTGATGGTGGATCAGGTGTGGAGGGGAAGGCAGTGACTCTGGGGTCTGTTTGATTTTTTTTTTTTTCCAAATAGGTCAAACCGTGTCTCCCCAGCCTGTCCCGACTACACATCTTGAAGTAAAAAATGGAGTGAATTGTGAACACAGTCCTGTGGATTTAAGCAAGGTGAGCAGAGACATGGGTGGTAGACATTGAGGCTTCCATTTCTCTCCAGTGAACTCGGGTCCAGTTGCTGGAATCTGGCTTAGCTTTAGTGTTGAGAGGCTCACATCACAGAGAGAGCAGATGTGGCCCATCTGCCTCTGCACATGCCAGCGTCCTGGGCAGGGCTGACTCCCCACGCTGCAAACACACGCCAGCCCCTGACCTCCTGGTCTCCTGCAGTTCCTCCCACCTACATGGATTTTGCCAATACAGTATTTCGGCTGCTGTCTTCCCGGCTGCCTGTTGGTTGAAACCTGTGGACTCTGAGGCCCAGGCCATCATAGAAGCTTGCAGAGGCTTCTGCTCCCAAGCCCCTCCTCACTCTAGTGCACATTCAATGCTGTCTCTCTTGCCTTTTTTTAAAGTTTTATTTTATTTGAAAGGCACATTTACAGAGGTAGAGAAACAGAGAGAGAGAGAGAGAGATTCACTTCCCCAGAAAGCCACAGTAGCTGATGTTGGGCCATGTGGAAGCCAGGAGTCCAGAGCTACTTCTGTGTTTTTCATGTGGGTGCCATCTTCTTGGGTCATCCTTTGTTGCTTTCTCAGGCCCCCTAGTAGAGAGCTGGATCAGAAATGGAACAGCCAGGACTTGAGCCAGCACCTGGATAGCTAGCGTCACAGGTGGTGGCTTCACGTGCCATGCTACTACACTGGCCCCCAGTGCTGTCTTTTGGAAACACTGTAGTGTCGTGCCTCTTCCTCTGCTCAGAGAGCTCCACAATCGATTTAGAAAACCTGAAACCACTGACAGAGCATGTGAGTATTTAAAAGGGAAAGACTGGGACGCAGCGCTTCAAAAGCATCTGTTTGGGAGGAAGCAGGGGGCAACGGAGGCAAACCAGAATATCTGGATTTTAATTCTCTCTCTCTCTCTATATATATATATATATATATAAAGATTTATGTATGTACTCTACAAGACAGAACAGTATTGGGAGAGGCAGTATATGACCTTCTGTCCACTGATTCATTCCTCAGATAGTTGCAACAGCCATAGCCAAGAGCCTGGAACTCCATCCTGGCCTCCACATGGCTGGCAGGGGCCCAGGTACTCAGGCTGTTATCCTCTGCTTCTCCAGGGATGTTGGCAGGAAGTGAGATTGAAAATGGAGCAGCTAGAATGGGAGGCTTGAACCTGCACTGTGATATGGGATGTGACATTGTAGACAGGGGCTTAAACCCAGAAAGTCCCAGAGCTGACAAGACCCAGCTGCTCCACTTCCGATCCAGCTCCCTGCTAATGTGCCTGGGAAAGCAGGGGAAGATGGTCCAAAGGTTTGGCCCTTGCTGTGCAAATAGGAGACCTGGATGGAATTCCAGTCTCTGCTGGCTTTGGCCTGGCCCAGCACTGGCTGTTGCAGCCATTTCAGGAATAAACCATCAGAGGGAAGATTTCTGTCTCACTCCCCCCCCTCCCCCGGTAACAGTGCCTTTCAAATAAATAAGATAAATCTTTAAACAAACAAAAAAGCTCTTTGATTCTGGGCAAGTCTTTTTCCCCTTTCTGGGTTTCAGATTGTTTCATTTAAAGGGAAAATATGAGACTAATGTAGTGTATACCTTATAAACCTTATGGAAATTTCGTAAGGTTCCAATAAAATAGCATGAAGAAACATGTGCTGGCCAGTTGACGTGTGAATGGGAAGCCCGAGGAGGGTGACTGAGGGTTCAGGTGACTGATGGATACAGCTGTCATGGGGCTCTTTTGGACTTCCAGGTAGACCTGCATTTCATGAAGAAGATCCCCACGGGGGCAGAGGCTTCGAATGTTCTGGTTGGGGAGGTGGACACCTTGGACCACCCCATCGTGGCCTTCGTGAGGCTGTCCCCAGCCGTGCTTCTCTCAGGCCTGACGGAAGTGCCCATCCCCACGAGGTGACGGCAAAGATGAAACTACTTACAGGAACAAGTGGAACAGACAAGCTGATGCCAGAATTTAGTATTCATGATAGTAGGAATGGTTTTTGATTTTCCCAGCAATCTGGAAAAAACTGGAATGTGTTTGATTAATTGCCATGCAGAGGAATTCTAGGACTCGGGGGCTGTGAGTGCACGGCACCTGTAGCTTGGGCACGGAGAATTACTGCAGAGTACTAACATGGCAAAGGCCAACCATGTGCCTTGCTCAGAAGCCCTGGTCTTGCTGACCCAGTTGCAGATCTCCAACCAAGGCAGAGGTGTCCCCCCTCACAGTTCTGGTGGGATGTATGCTTTGCAAATATGCCTGCGTTGGTCCCCAAGACTGGCCCTGCACACTGAAGCAGGGGACGCTGGTGACTCAGGGCCCACTGGTGAAAGACACAATGTCAGTTCCTCTACAAGGCTTCCTTGCTGTTAGAAAAATGGGAAACAGATAACCCTGACTCTACGCGATAAGGCCAGCGGGAAGGAAGGAAAGAGAAAGTGAGATTTCTTACTGGTTCACTCCCTGAAGTAGCTGTGACTTCCAGGCTTAGCCCAGGTCGAAGGCAACGGCCCAGAACTCTGTTCAGGTCTCCCATTCATGAATGATACCATACAGATAGCTACCAGTGCCCGAAATAGAGGTGTTAGGTTGAGGCAATTCACAGTGTACCATCATTAGTATGTCTCCTTTCTGTTAGACAGGAAAGAAGAATTTACACTGTTTAGACAGGATTATTCTGTTTGCTCACCCTAATCTCCCTCCTTTTGTGTTTTGCCAGGTTTTTGTTCATCTTGCTGGGCCCAGTAGGGAAAGGTCAACAGTACCATGAGATTGGCAGGTCCATGGCCACCATCATGACCGATGAGGTACATGCCCTTCGTTCATCTTGTAAATGTTGATTGAGTGAGTGAGGCCCTGTGATAGTTTCATGGCGATTGCAATGCCTGCTGGGTGGCAAGTGGCCGGGGCGCTTCTCTGAGAGCCTCCTGTGGCAGACTGAGTCTGCTGGGGGAGTTTGTCATCAAGAATGCAGAAAAATCGTTTTGTCTGGGAAAATTATCATTGCGACGTGTGATCTCTGCAGAGTTACGTTAAGGCTGACCTAACTTTCTAGATAGGATGGTTAACTAACTGTATCCAAGCAATTTGCTTAAGAAACTTGACTTCCATCCCAAATGAATAACCAGTCTGCATGGTGCCACGTGGGGTCGTTTGGATGCCCTGCTGGTCTGTGCTGAGGCCACGCCAGTGTTTTGTGTTGACCTGCAGTAGGGTTCTCCACGGGTGTGCCTCAGTCAGTATAATGTTGTGTGAACTGTGTGTCACCAGCTCTTTTCCACTAGAGAGCTTATCTCCTTACTCATTAGCAAGTTCATCTAGTTTTATCAACCATTAAGATCAAGACATTTTTCCACGTTTTTCCTTTTTTTTTTTTTACTTCTTTGTGTAGATTATAGAACTGTACAACTTTAGTATCATGTCTTAACTCTGTCTTTTGAAAAATATTTATTTTTTTTAAAAGATTTATTTATTTTGGGCCTGGTGCGGTGGCGCAAGTGGTTAAGGTCCTCACCTTGCATGCCCGGGATCCCATATGGGCACTGGTTCTATCCCGGCAGCCCCGCTTCCCTTCCAGCTCCCTGCCTGTGGCCCGGGAAAGCAGTCGAGGACGGCCCAAAGCTTTGGGACCCTGCACCTGCGTGGGAGACCCAGAAGAGGCTCCTGGCTTCGGATCGGCATAGCATCGGCCGTTGCGCTCACTTGGGGAGTGAATCATCGGACGGAAGATCTTCCTCTCTGTCTCTCCTCTCTGTATATCCGCCTTCCCAATAAAACATAATAAAAATTTTAAAAAAAGATTTATTTATTTTTATTAGAAAGTCAGGTGTACAGAGAGAAAGAGAGACAGAGAGGAAGATCTTCCATCCATTGATTCACTCCCCAAATGGTCGTAATGGCTGGAGCTGAGCTGATCCGAAGCCAGGAACCAGGAACCCCATCCAGGTCTTTCACACGGGTGCAGGGTACCAAGGCTCTGAGCTGTGCTCGGCTGCTTTCCCAGGCCGCAAGTAGGGAGCTAGATAGGCAACTGGTCCTCCAGGACATAAACCTGCGCCAATATGGGGTCCCAGCACATGCAAGGCAAGGAATTTAGCTGTTAGGCTTCTGTGCTGGCCAAGATTTATTTATCTTACTTAAAAGTCAGAATTACTGAGAGAGAGAGAGAGAAAATCCCTTGTTCACTTTCTCAAATTTTCCACAACTACTGGAACTGCAGCAGGGCCGGTCTGAAACGGGGAGCCAGGAGCTTCCTAAGGGTCTCTCACATGGGCCCTCCTTTGCTGCTTTCCCAGGCCACCAGTGGAAACTGGATAGGAAGTGGGACAGCTGAGACAAGAATTGATGTCCATATGGGGTACTGGCACCATAGGTCGTGCCTCAGCCTGCCACAGCACTATCCTGGCCGTTCCCATATTCACTTTTAAAGTTCTTTTATCCTGGAATTTCTCTAACATTTTCTTCCTCTTACATCCCCATGGCAGAGTTAAAAATTCATCACCATATCCATTGATGAGAGTTTTAAGCAAGATTGCTTTGAGCTTCCTAAGGGTCTTTTCTTTCCCCTAGATCTTTCATGATGTGGCGTATAAGGCGAAAGAGCGAGATGATTTACTGGCAGGCATTGATGAGTTCCTAGACCAGGTGACGGTCCTTCCGCCAGGAGAGTGGGACCCATCCATTAGAATCGAGCCACCCAAAAATGTCCCTTCCCAGGTAACGTGTGCGTGTTACCAGTAGTGGCTGGTAGTGCTTATTGAGCGCCTCTGTAGACAGAAGATGGTGTTGGGTGTGTGCTGAATAAGCCAAAATGGCTTTTCAGGGCACCTGTGACATCAGAACAGTTTAAAAAAAAAAAAAGAAGAAGAAGAAGCTACAGGAACAGAGATTGGCTCAGGTGTGACAGGGCAAGACAGGACTGCTGGAGATGAATTTGAAGCCACAAATTGAAGGATTGATATGGAATGAAGGCAGGCAGGTGAGAACATCTGACGTAGTGTGTCTAGTCCGAAGCCAGCTGGAGGGAAGGGCAACTTGTAAAGAAAGAGCGTGTGGAGTTCCCATGTGCTTTATGACACTTGGCAGGTGGATAGAAGACTCAGGTCACACACTGCAGGTGTCTGCACGAAGCCTTCCCAGCAACATCTGCCTCCCCCCCCACATACTGCTATCTGTTTTGGACACTTGACCCACATCATCCCCCAGGGCTGTGTGTTCGATGAGGTGGAGTGAGGACCACACAGAAGCTAATCTACAGCTGAAATAGGTCATTGCAAATGCCCCCATTTTTCTGTTTCTGCACCAAATACGGAAGGCAGCTGCTGTTGAAGAGCAAGATAAATTAGCCCTCCCCCCAAGGAAAGTCCATAAACTGTATCACATTTGAAAGCGGCAGGCAGTTTTGGTTGCTTTGGGTCACTTCTTCTGCGCTCCTCTCCGACGCTACTAACTTTATGGTCCTCTGTTAAAAGGAGAAAAGGAAAATGCCTGGGGTTCCAAATGGAAACGTTTGCCACATAGAGCCTGAACCGCATGGGGGTCACAGCGGGCCGGAGCTGCAGCGCACTGGGCGGTAAGTTTGCCATGATGTCACTTACTGCCCACAAGTTGCACAAAGGAACGCAGCATCTTTGCAGCCTTCTCTCTACTTGGTGATTTTTTTTTCAAGTGAAACTTATGACTGTGCATATATTATACCTATGTCAGACACTGTATTCATGCATCGGAGTTTCTCAGACCAGCAGCATTTTCTGTCTCACTTCCAGTTCTTCCCGCATCCTCTGCTCCGATGTGAACCCTGTTCGCTTTACTCGTGTTCTGACTCCTGATAGCATCCTGTGACTCAGCCTAGGTGGCACTTCCTTTGGGAAGCTGTCTGTGACCCTGTTGATGGAGTCAGGCGTCTCCACTGGCTGGTCCCAACGCTGAGCGCTGACCCGTCTTGCCCATGACTGCCCCAATCCTACGTTACTATTGTCATTGTCTTTCCTGGTAGCCTGTTTGCTCCCATGGGCAGGGCCTACGACCTACTCCTGGCACCTGGCACAGTAGCACGGGCAGAGCAGGTACTCACCATCTGACACATGAATGGGTACTTTTGAAGCAATGCCATTCCGTAGCCTAGACTGGACTAAGTGTATGTAAATGTTGGGTGATCATTTCAGATTGGGAAGATAGGAACATTTTAGATGTGTGTGTCTCTCTGAATGAATAGGCAGCCTGTTCTTTTAGGCCAAGATATTGTTTTAAGGTTTTTTTATTTTTATTTGAAATACCAAAGAGAGAAATACACACACATGTAGAGAGACAGAGACAGAGAGAGGTCTTCTATCCACTGGTTCACTTCCCAAATGGCTGTAACACGCAGAGCTGAGTCAGTCTGAAGCCAGGAACCAAGAAATTCTTCTGGGTCTTCCACATGGGTACAGGGTCCCAAGGACTTGAGCTATCCTCTACTGCTTTCCCAGGCCATCAGTAGGGAGTTATATGGGGACATAGAGCAGCTGGGACTAAAACTGGTACCCATAGGGAATACCAGTACTGCAGGTGGAGGATTAGCTTGCTACGCCACTTCACCAGCCTCAATAGGGCAGGGTTTTAAGGACAATTATCCAAGGAAGAGGCTCTCTGTGGAAGGGGAGGGAAGCAAGCCCCAGACTAGAAGGTTTTGTTCCCAGGAAAGAAGGTGGTCAAGGCATGTAATATGTTGGGCTGGCATGACCTTCCAAGGTGTGGGGCACCGTGGGAGAAGGTAGGGACTGTGGCTGTGGCTCTGTGAGTGGGCTGCCACAGCAGGACCTGCAGGACACGGCTGAGACCATGCAAACAGTGTCACTGTCTCTACTGGCTTGCTTCCGCCTGCCTTTTTTCCTCCTCCCTCAGCACTCTGCCTAGTGGAAACTCAGGGTTGCCTTGGAATTGTGGGCAGCAGCCCTTTATTTTCCCCTAGTCTTGGGAATTCCAGAAGCCAGGAGAGGAGACTGAGACCTAGGAAGTGTGGTACATCACTAGCAGGGTACTGATGGGAATATATGTTCTGGTTGGAGGAATATATTGGAGAATAGAGGCAGAGAACTGTTCCCTGGGTGGGAAGATTGATGGAAAGAAGGCCACATGATGAAAGGGGTCTTGGGGAAAAAGCGAACAACCTTCAGGGGTGAGTGAGGCCTTTTCTTCAAAGTTGGGAGAGGTGTGGATTTGTTGGGGAAGCCTGCTACTGAGAGCAAGTCAAGGGCAACATCTGCCCTTGGATGGATTCCAGGCAGGAGTTCACGTTTACTTTGGCATGGACTGGTAATCCTCCAGACACACCCAGGATTTCATATGTTTCAGAGCAGTGCAATCGGGCCCAGTGTGATGGCTCAGTTGGCTAATCTGCTCGCAAGTGCCAGGATCCCACATGGGCACCAGTTTGTGTCTCAGCTGTTCCACTTGCCATCCAGCTCCCTGTAGTATAGGACGGCCCAAAGCCGTGGGACTTTGCACCCATGCGGGAGACCCAGAAGAAGCTCCTGGCTCTGAATCAGCTCAGTTTCGGCCATTGTGGGTTCACTTGAGGAGTGAACCAGTGGTTGGAAGATCTTTCTCTAAGCCTCTCCTTCTCTCTGTAAATCTGCCTTTCCAATAAAAAGAAATAAATCTTAAAAAAGAAAAAAGTAATGGAGTTGAGGGAAAGAGGGTATCTCCCAAACAGAAGCCCGTGCAGAGGTGGACTTTGAGGGTCACAGGCCTTGAGGGAGCTCGTTTTTGCCCGATTACACAGGAGGGTTGAGAAGGCAAGTAGGCTGGTTCCCAGCGGCTGCTGGGCCTAAAAAATAGTGCCTGGTGTCCCAAGACCACCCACAAACCCTAAGTACCTTGCCTCACAAAGTCAGAAAGGGTTTGAAGCAGTTCTGCCGTAATGTCATGTCAGAAACTTCTGGAATTGACGAAGATGACAGGATAGGTTGGATCCTCTTCTTGAGCTCCTGGCGTTTGCTCTGAGTGCCTAGTAAAGGACCTCAAGATGTCTGCCTCCCCTTGTAGCTCCTTGGACCTGGTTACCCACTGCCTGTGTCAGGGATCACAGCTCCAGGCCAGCTCAGGAGCCTTTTGCAGCCTGCCATGTGAACCTTCCTTCCCTGTAGATGGGTGTCCTAGAACTTTCTGGACCTTCCTAAAATACATTAGCCTGGGCTTTGCAAATATTCAGACCTTAGTTGTTATCTCTTTGAGATGCAGAACCTACTGTATACATATCATGTTGTATGACCTTGGGCAAAACTTGAGTCTCAGAGCCTTGGTGAGGTACAGCTCCTGTGGTCTGGGTCAGACCCTGCAGGCAGTTCCTCTACCTGAGCTGGAATACAGGACAGGCATACTCTAATGCAGGTCTCAAGGCTGGTTTCAGCTGTCTCCTCTAAGCCCAGAACCAGACTGCCGCTAAATGCTGCTAAGCTGAGAAAAAGTGAATGCCAACTGCACCTGCCACCACCAGAGGCCAGGAGCGTGATAGAAATGTAAGACAGTGGCTCCCTGTGTCCCTGGACACCGTGGTACCTGGCTAGGGAACAGGGGCGTGGCTACTGGGAGGAAGCCCACTGCCTGAGCCTCCTCGCCCGATGCACACATCCCAGGCCACCTCACACTCCTCCAGCCTCCTGACTTCTTCTTTGGGTCACTTCTGGCTTCAACATATATTTAAAAAAAATATATTAGTATAATGAATTCAGCAATCCATTAACTGTTGCCAACATTTTTGCCAACCTTGTTTCATCTGTTTTTTTTTTTTTTCTACTCGTATTATTATTTTTTTCTAGGTTGTTTTAAGCCAAATCACCAATACTGTAACCATTCACATTGAACTCTGACTGGTTAATATCATATACATACACAGATGAATTCTTTTTATGCTTGGGATAATCATTAAGATTTCCTCCAAGTCACACTTTTGGTTGCAAATAGAATGCTTGTTGGCTCAAGAGAGCTCTCCTGTACTTGGTGACAAATGAAAGCCAAAGCATTTCTTCATTGCATAGCACACTTTAAATGCTTTTATGAAGAGGGACTGCACTCTGCCGTGTCTCCACAGGCTGTTTGGGGGCTTGGTGCTGGACATCAAACGCAAAGCCCCCTGGTACTGGAGCGACTACCGGGATGCGCTCAGCCTGCAGTGTCTGGCCTCCTTCCTCTTCCTGTATTGTGCCTGCATGTCACCAGTCATCACCTTTGGGGGTCTGCTCGGAGAAGCCACCGAGGGACGCATAGTAAGAGCTTTGAGTCACTCTTAATGGTTTCCAACAAGGCTATTTAAAATATGGGGGTGGCAGCCATGCCCTTAGAAGAGCTGGGAGTGGACTGCCCTGGGCTTGCACTGAGATCGTGTTTTCATTCCTAAAGTTGCTGTGGCCTTCTGACCTCCTACCAAACAGCAACACACTCCTTTTCATAGAACCAACTCTTCCCAGGATGATCATTTTCGCTGGCTGCCCGGTGAAGTGGCCGTGGCCCCAAGGATAGCAGAGGGATCTAGTGCTACTATTTGAAAATAAGATTTAAAGTAACTGTGCATGATAAGTTGTAGTGTAGATAGGATCCTTGTCCTTGCCGTATATTTTGGAAATTCTCAATGGAGTCACTGCAGAACAGTGGTAAGGAATTCAATGCAGATGGGTTTGGGCACTTGAATGATTAAAGAGGAATGATTAAAGAGTGTTACGTGGCGTATGCTCATCCCTCTTGCTAAGACAAAATGCAGGCGAATCACTGCCAAGGTACACGTGAGAGCTAAGGCAGGAGCCCACAGAAGCCAGCGCTCTTTGCTGATGGGCCGTGGACTCATTGGTGGCTTTTGTCTCCCTCCCAGAGTGCAATTGAATCCTTGTTCGGAGCCTCCATGACCGGGATCGCCTATTCCTTGTTTGCGGGACAGGCCCTCACCATCCTGGGGAGTACCGGACCAGTGCTTGTGTTTGAAAAGATTTTGTTCAAGTTCTGCAAGTAAGACCTTTGCTTCTGTGAAGAGTCTAACTGGATGTGGTTGTTGATGTGGAATGCCCGGGTTCAAGGCGGGAGTGAGCAGGCAGGCAGTGCTTGGAATCATCCTGCCTCCCAATATCTGAAACATTTCTAAAATAACAAGTTAAAGAACTTGAGCAATGTCACCAGCCGCTACTGAAGTCTTGACTTTAAAATTTTAAAAAAAATTTTTCCCTAGCCAATTCAAACTCCTCCATTTCCATTGGTGAAGAAGTATTCTATTATTTGAAAGATGTATTTAGAGAGGGAAGTATAGATAAAAAAGGAGAGGTTTTACATCTGCTGGTTCACTCCCTAAATGGCCCTAATGACCGGGTCTGGCCCAGGCAGAAGCTGGGCACCAGTGGCTTCATCCAGGCCTCCTGTGTGGGTACAGGGCCCAAGCACCTGGGCCATCTTCCATTGCTTTTCCGGGCACATTATTACGAAGCTGGATTGGAAGTGGAGTAGCCAGGATTTGAACCAGCATCAGTGAGGGATGCTGGCACTGCAGTAAGTGGCTTAACCTGCTGAACCGCAATGTCAACTTTTAAGTCCGATTTTTATTTAGAAAAAAAAAAGATTTATTTATTTATTTTGAAAGAGTTACACACACACAGAGGGAGGGAGGGCTACAGATCCTTTCTCTGTTCATCTAGTTCCCTGATAGCCACAGCTGTCAGCGCTGGGCCAGGCTGAAACTAGGAGCCAGGAGCTTCATCTGGATCCCCCATGTGGGGTGGTAGGATCCAAGTTCTTGGGCTGTCTTTTCTGCTCTCCCAGGCCTTCAGTGGGGAGCTGGACCAAAAGTGGAGCAATGGGGCTCAAACCAGGGCTCCCATGGGATGCCAATATCACAGGGAGCAAGCTTTATTTACTATGCCACTGTGCAGACACCGTACCTCTTCATATTCTGGTTGCTAACGATAATGGGAGTTCAGCGATGTCCTAAATTGACATTTTTTTTGGTATAATTTTTTAAACTAGAAGTAGGAGCACATGGAACTCGGTTTATCCCCTTTGCCTTACTGCAGGAATGACACCTTAATTATATTTGATGTGAATGGCAGCAGTGCTGTATGCGAGACGGTGCTTGCTGTGGCAGACAGCACTCATGGAGCACTCATCTTCATCATGGCTGTCCCAGGGGCATCAGCTAGGAGGGAGTGCAGCCAGACCTGGGGATAGCCCGAGTTGCGCGGCTACCCTGGACACCGAGAGCTGGATTAGCCACGCTTCCCGGGCAGGCTTCCTGACAGACTCCGGTCTTGTTTCAGAGACTATGCGCTGTCCTACCTCTCCCTGAGAGCCTGCATTGGATTGTGGACCGCCTTCCTGTGTATCGTCCTCGTGGCAACTGATGCCAGCTCCCTTGTCTGCTACATCACCCGCTTCACGGAAGAGGCGTTCGCCTCTCTGATTTGTATCATTTTCATCTATGAAGCAATCGAAAAGCTGATCCACCTGGCCGAGACCTACCCTGTCCACATGCACGGCCAGCTGGACCACCTCAGCCTCTATTAGTAAGTATGCTTTCTGCTTTCTCTGGTCATGGGAAGGGCCGAGGGCTTGAATTTCACTGCTGATGTCCTGTGCCCGGCAACTTCTGATAGGGCATCACCCCGGGCCTCTGGGCATCCGGGTTCCTCTGGGGGTGAGCAGACCGAAGGGCCACCAGGGAACAACGGTTGGACGTGATGACAGAGCAGTGCTACCCAGCGCTTGTCTTCTGGGTTTAGGCGTTCAAGCCCAAACAGACTGCAAAGGTAGCAGGGAGAATTTGAATTACTCACCAGGATTGCTCTTTGCAAGGACTTGTGAGCCCCTCGACTATGTCCCTGCCCCCAAAAGCACGTATGGGCAACTCTTTAGATGAATAGATCAATCATATCTAAAAAAAAAAAAAAAAGATTTACTTTAATTATTGAAAGACAGTTACAGAGAGAGATCTTCCATCTGCTGGTTCACTCCCCAAATAACCAGTCAGGGCTGAGCCAGGCCAGAGCCCAGAGCTGAGAACCCAGGCACTTTGTCATGATCTCCCACCTTGGTGCAGGGGCCCAGGGCTTGGGCCGTCTTCTGTTACTTTCCCAAGCACATTAGCAGGAAACTGGATTGGAAGTGGAACAGCCAGGACTAGAACTGGCATCTCTATGGGATACTGATGGTGCAGTCAGTGGCTCAACTTGCTATGCTACAGGGCCAGCCCCAACTGTGCCTTTCTGAGTCAAAAGTTTCTCCCACTGTATCCTGCACACCTAGAAACATGTATTCTTCACAGATTTTAGCTCCAGAGATTATTCTATTTCAGGATGCAGCACAATGCTGGGTCAGCTGGAAACCCGAAGCAGTCTCTGGCTGGGTTTTCAGCCATGTAGGTGAGTCCAGTCCTGCAGGACATTTCTTGTCTGTGACAGCATTCTCCAACTCCCGATGGGAGATCCTTGTCCCATAGCCCTGTCTGTCCAGCTCTCTCCCTCTGGCCGGCCAGCCCGATGTGAAGGATCTGATTGCAAAGCACAGAGTGTCATCCTGAAACTGCTGCAGAAGAGCGGGTGTGTGGCGAGTGGAGCCATCCGCCCACCAGCCCCGTTCTAGCCCCGATGCGTTTGGTAGCCTTTGAACGTCCCTGGATAGACCCCAAGCATACTCAGATGGGTAACTGCTCTAAGGAAGCAGTGGTTAGGAGGATTCTCTCCAAAGCCTTGTCAGTGTAAGGCACATCTCATTCGTCGTTAGGCACCTGCTGTGTGTCATGCACTGTTTTATGACCTGGAAATGCAGTGGTGAGCACGACCAAGAATCTCCCCTCATGAGGTTTCTATTCTTGGGGAAAAAGATAGCCAAAGGTGACCAGTCCAGCATGGGGTAGGCCCTAGATCTAGAAACTGTGATTCTCAATGAGACCCATGGTGGTATTTCCTTAGTTGCATTCTGTGCTTAGTTTCTGTGAAGCAGGCATAAAGCCAGAAAGAACCCTTCGATTGTTTGAGTGATTTTATATTACTATATGTGCAATATATGTGATTTTTAATAGATTTTTTTTCAAAGTAGATTTTAAAAAAGTAAATAAAAGTGCATTAAGGTTCAAAGCAAAATTGAGTAGAATGTCTGGTTTCAGTACATCCCTGCCCTTGCACCCGCACAGCCTCTGCCGTCATAGACCTCCTGCCCCAGCGTGGCGTGTTGGTTATGGGCAGTGTGCCCTGTCACAGTCACTCACAGTCCAAAGCCGATGCTGGAGCTGACACTGGGTGCTGGGCCATCTGTGGGCAATGACAGATGCATACTGTGCTGTCTGCCATCATTGCTCTGAAGGCCTCCGTCATTCTCCTGTTTAACCCTCTGTCTCTCCCCAGTTCCTGACAGATGATGACTTTTTTTTTAAACTGTCCCCATAGTTTTGCATTTTCTGGAGTGTCATATCACTGGAATCACACAGCTAAGTGACCTTTTCAGATTGGCCTTGCCCCTTACTGAAGTATGCGTTTAAGGATCATTCATGGCTTTTCATGGCTTGACAGCTCATTTATTGATTGATTCATTTATTAAGGATTGTTTCTATTGGAAAGGCAGATTTACAGGGAGAAGGATGGAGGAAAAGATCTGTCATCTGGTTCATTTCCCTAATGTCTGAAACAGCTCAGCAAAGCCAGGAGTGCCGAGTCTCTCTTCCAAGGCTTTGGGCCATCCTCTGCTGCTTTCCCAGCCGTGAGCAGGGAGCTGGAAGGGGAGTGCAGCAGCTGGGACTCAAACCGGTACCCATATGGGATGCCAGTGCTTGTAGCTAGAAAATTAGCCTATTGAGCTGCTGTGGCAGCCCAGTTTATTTTATAAAAAAAAAGAAAAAAAAAGATTTCTTTCTTTATTTAAAAAGTTGGGTTATGGGAAGAGGGAGACACACAACACACACACACACACACACACACACACACACACACACACAAAGAGAGATTGAGAAAGAGAGAACTTCCATTTTCTAGTTCACTCCCCAAATGACTGCAACAACCAGAGCTGGGCCAGGCCAAAACCAGGAGCCTGGAGCTTTTTCCAGGTCTCTCATGTAAGGTCCAAGGTTCAAGTACTTGGGCTATCTTCCATTGAATTCCCAAGGCATTAACAGGGAGCTGCATCGGAAGCCAGGACACAAACTGGCACCCAGGTGGCATGTTGGCGTTGCAGGTGGTGGCCCATTCTACTGTGCCACATTACCCACCCCAGCTCATTTGTTTTCAGCAGTGAATGATATTCCATTACCTGGTGTACTACAGTTTATTTACTCTTTCATCTATCTAAGGAAATCTTAGCTGCTTCCAATTCTGGAACTGATTTTTAGACCTAAATATAAAGCTTTGTAACTTGCCCAGATTGATTTTTATTTTCTTATCTCCCTCTGTTATTCCAACCTGTCAATATGTTTTTTGAATGTTCATTCCAGCGTTGCATCCTAGAAGGTAAATTTGGTTAATATCATTAAATTCACAGATGAAATAAAGTTGATAATAGTGGCTCTGTGAGTTGACCACACAAAGAGGCAGTTCAGGATTAAAGCATGCCAGGATTGGGAGGCAACATGGTGGTCAGTGAGTCAGGTCTGGTCTGGTCTAGATTTGTATGGAGGAGGAGGATGGGGAGGCGAAGGGAACTGCCGGACACTACAGGCCTGGCTCCGGTATTAGCAGCTGGGAAATGGCCAAGGATACTGCAGTGTCAGGAGGAGCTCCCATCACACCTCCAGCGAATCCCCACTTTGAGCATTCCCACTTTGATGGAGTCTGAAGGGAATGAGATATCCCAGGTTGGAGGAAGTTATGGAGAACTGACTGGGGGTGGCAGGACCTCTTTGCTAGACCGAATGTCACAGCAGGAGCCTGAGAGATGGAAATCCAGCAAGACAACACCTGGGCACATCACAGGCCAAACATGGCTGTCAGCACATTGGGCTGATTCGTTGTCCATCTATCAATGACTAGCAAAAAATTGAGGTGTGGTTGAGTCTACAGGTGAGCCTCAGGTTAGGGGTATAAACTATGCAAAGGAGAAGTGAGGCGGGGATAGACAGTGCCTTGAATCCAGTCAAGGCTAAAAACCTTTAGGTGCAGCCTATCTGGATCTTCCCTTAGAAATCTGCTTCCCCTCCCTCCCCTCAGCTGCAGGTGCGCTCTCCCAGAGAACCCGAGCAATCTCACCCTGCAGTACTGGAAGGACCAGAACATCGTGACGGCGGAAGTCCAGTGGGCTAACCTGACTGTCAGCGTAAGTCTGGGAGGTGCAGGTGCCCGCCCTTTGTGACCATGTGACTCATGGGGGGAAGGAACCCCTATTCTTATTGACTCTTCTTTTCCCTTCCAGAAGTTCTGTTGTACATAAAAGGAAAAGAAAACTCATCATTCCCCAGATGCCCTCAATAGCTGGGGTTAGGCCAGGTTGAAGCTGGGACCTGGCAGCTCTCCCACACAGGTGACAGGAACCCAAGTACCTGAGCTCTTGGTGCTGCCTCCTAGGGTACACACTGCAGCGCACCCTTGCTCTACCCTTGTACTGCTTGCTGCAGCGGGCAAGCAGGGCTGACTTTCCAATCCAGGTGCTCCCATCTGAAAGGCAGATCTCCCAAGCACATCCTAACCAGCATGCGAAACACCTGCCCCTGAGTCCATCCTGACATGTCTTAGGATTGTAAATGGTCCACGCTCCGGGGGCCCCAGGGATGCTGTGGGCCCACGCTCCCAGTGACCATCAGGTGACAGTGAGTGGGGAACTCAGAAGGTGGCAGCTTTTACTCTCTCCCCTCTGCCTCTCGTCACCCAGCATGTTGCTGCTCTCTCTCCAGGAGTGCCACAAGATGCGTGGAGAGTTCGTGGGGTCTGCCTGTGGCCATCACGGCCCCTATGCTCCGGATGTGCTCTTCTGGTCCTGCATTCTCTTCTTCACCACCTTCATCCTCTCGAGCACTTTAAAGACGTTTAAGACGAGCCGCTATTTCCCTACCAGGGTAGGTGGCACACTCAGATGCCCCGATAGTGATAGGATTCTGATTTAAGAGGGAAGCCTGCTTGCACTGTGCGCTGCCTGGGTGCACATAGGCAGGCAGGGAGGCAGCCCACGTTCGCATGAACCCCCTGTGGTGAGGCAGCCCCTTTCATAGATGCACTGTGTGGAATGAGGATACTTCAGAGCTTTTTCTAAAAGATGCCAAGCCTCATTTCTGGAGGCTGTTAAGTTCTACTTCCAGAATTCTGAGACAGTTAGCATGCAGTCACTGGCTCCTGAATATGGGAATATGGTCAACTGAGGTGATTGTCTCGGTTGCGTTAGGAGGCTGCAGAGTCTGTTCCTAGGAATGGCTCCTGTGACCATACTGACCACAGCCGCCAAGCTGCTCCTGCCCTGGTGTGCATGGCCTTGGCCTCGGTAACCTGCTGATGCAAACTGTATTGCTTGTGTTATGAGCAGGACTTTTGCTGGTTGGGGTGAGGCAGGGCTTGAGGCCTAGTTCGGGGTAGCTGGAGGACGCACTGCTTGAAAAGGGAGCCCCGGCTAGGAGGAAGTAGTGGCGTGTCCATGAATAAGGTTTCAGTCAGGCACATTTGCTGAACAAGGTATGTGAATGGGGTATGCCCCATGACGGATGCACATGCGCAGCTGAAATGCATTCCAGCTTTCAGGAAACCCACATGATAGTTAACGAAGAAACACCTTCAATAAGCTCCTTCTTTTTCCTCCCTTGTCTTTTTTTCTTGGCTGAGCAAGTGGTGGCTGAATTGCTCTTGTACTCAGGCCTGGCTTAAGGTTTATGAGAGGAGATGCAAATGGTGAAAAGATGTTATCTGCAGTCAGATGGGTAGGGTAGGAGAGACATGAGAGCATCAGCGGCTGTCTAGACAGCAATCGTAGGTAGTAGCAAAGGCAACTTTGCCATAGAGGTGTATTCTGCTCTGCCTGTTGGAAGGTACAGGCCGTTTGCTAGGTGTTGCATTTTATCCGGGCTGCACTAAACCTTGGAATAGAACAGCCCATCCAGGGCGGGTTAGACATGGAATGCAAATCAACCTACAAAAATGGACATTAAGTACAGTGGAGAAAATCAAGCAGGGAAACAGTTCAGGAATGTTGGGGTGGAGGGTGAGGGCGGTTTCCAGAAGGATCATCCGAGAAGAGCTCGTGAGGACTACGGTGTCTGGATGAAGGAGGTGGGAGGATCTGTCCAAGAGGTTGCCTGGGGAAACAGCTTCTCGGGTAGCAGATAGGTGGCAGTGAGCCTGGCACGTGGAGGCAGTGAACCTGTGTGACTGGAGAGCATCAGGAGCCGGAGGCAGAGACCCCGGTCCGCCTGGACCTCCCGGCCAAGGAGGTCTTTGGGCTTTGGACTCAGCGACAACTCTAACAGGAGTGATGTGTGGCCCTTGCCTTACTGCTCTTCCAGCTGCAGTGGAGGAAACTGTGTTCAACAAAGGTATCACCAAGTTGGGGGGGCTCCTGCAGTTACCCCAGCAAGAGCCATGGTGCCTTCGACATGGGGGAGGTGCTCCTGTTTTCGGTGAGCTACAGGAAGAACTGAAAGGACTCTCAGTGGGGGTTGGACCCTGCTCACGAGGGAACAGTGGAGTTGATGCTGCTGCAGAAGTTCTTGGCTGGCACCATGGACCTCAGCGGGTCCCAGGAAATCCTATTCCAGGTGTGCAGAATGAGGGGCCGCCCCTGAGCCGGTCTGCCCAAAGCAGGAGCCGTCAGGTAGCCGGGTGTGCTTGCTAACACATGGTGCCTGGTTTCAGTCCGCGGGACCGTGTACGCATCCTGAGGATCGGAAGAACTGGTACGATGCTGTTTCTTCTTTCTTGTGCCAGGTGCGCTCCATGGTGAGCGACTTTGCCGTCTTCCTCACTATCTTCACAATGGTGATTGTTGATTTTCTGATCGGAGTCCCATCACCAAAGCTTCAGGTCCCCAGCGTGTTTAAGGTAAACAGACTCCCAGGTGCTGGGCCCCCTCGTGTACCCCCGCAAAACTCGATCCCGAGGTTTTTCTCCAAAGCTTTCGTGTGTCTTTGCTGTCAAAGGGGTTTTGCAGTCACAGGAGTCTGTGCCTTGCTCCTGACACTGCCTTTTAGCAAGGTAAGCTCTCTAGGCTTGGCTGAGTTCCTGCGAGAAAAGTCAGAGCAGAGCAACTAAGGCTGCTTAGTGAGGTTACGGTACTGTTTACGATCACTGACACCACCTACGTTGTTTTTCTTTTACTATGTTATGATTTAAAACTGGGCCAGGCGTTCGTCCTCACGGTTAAGACTCCAGTTAAGATGCTTTTGCCCCACGTCACAGTACCTGGGTTTGAGTCCCAGCTTTGGCTCCTGACTCCAGCTCCCTGGTAACACAGAATCTGGAAGGCGATGGCTCACGTAGTTGAATCCCAGCCATCCCTGGAGGAAACCTGGATTGAATTCCTGCCTCTGGCTTGGCCTTGGCCCAGCCTAGGCTCCTGTTGCTCATCTGGGAAGGGAATCAGTCAATAGGAGCTAGCTTTCTCTCTCTCTCTCCCTTTCCCTGTCTCCGGAAATGGAATGCAAAGGCACCTCATCTGAAGTCCAGAGCCTCTGCCACAGCTATCCTGACGTTACTCGGGCCCCGAGTCATTGTATTTTTTAAAAAATAACTCTATAATCTAGAGTGTTTTTCTGGAGATCTATGTAAGAAGTAGTACAGATGACCAATACGTGGGCCTCAAAATCTGTTTCAGGGATACTGATTAAACAGAAAAGGTGGAACAACCACTGGTCAGTTCCACAGCTCCCCGAAGGGGCTATGGAGTGGAGAGAAAACCCAGATCACTCAGGGACTTAGCAGGATCATACCTCATCAACGCGGTGAGGAGAGACAGGCCGAATAAAAGCAGTCCCCGACCTGGAAACCCCCATGAGTTGATCAGCAGCCTCTTTTCTGATTTGTCTCTCTCTTCTTAGAACAGGCCAGATTCAAAAGTATCTTCTTCCTTATTGTTTGAACATTTTAAATTTCCTTAAGGTAGCTGCTTTTCTGCCAAGTTAGGTATGTGTGGATCAGCAAATAATCACCCTTGTCTCAGAATATGTCATTCTTAAGCCACTTGCTCCCTGATAACTAACTGGGGCTGGCCCCACAGGGGGAATGGGTTTTGTGTAAAAATAGGTCATTTGGAAATGTGAGGTAGCTCTTAGGCTCCCTGATGGGCACTTGAATTTCTGGGGCATCCAGGAAAAACCCCAGCTGTACAAAAGGGAAATGGAAAAACGTCAAAGGAAATGTTGTTCAGGGCTAACTCTACTTCCAGGAAACCAAGAGGGAATTCTCTTCCTTTTCCCCTTCCCTGCTACAATACATGGTCCCCAGGTCCCAAGACCCAATCTAAAGACTGATGCTGTATTACTAGGGGTTCTAATGTCATGCAAAACTAAAGACATGTTTTTATTGGTCTGAGAATATAGCTACCATTTACAACACTGTTTCTTAGGAAACAGATTCTATAAACTTCTGGAATCTAGCCGATTCATAATTCAGAACTGGGTATGACTGAACAGTCTTTGGCCCCTGCAGTCCTTACTATGTCTGGGTCAATTTGGGCCAGTTTGCATCTCTTTTAGTAGAGCTTCTTCCAGGCTGCATACCATTTGCAAAACAGGTGAGGGTATCTCCTCTCGAGTACCGGGGGGAGGGGTGGGAAGGAGCGGGGGCAAGGGGTGCAAGGGGCTTCAGAATCTAGGAGAGCTTAGATGTGTCGTAAACACCCCTACACATGAACGCACAGTGGTCTCACAGGGGCGTTGCAGAGAGTCCTAGGTCAGACAAGTCTCCAGATTGATTCTGGATGCTTCTCAAGTCCCTGGTGTCCGTGCCCCTCTCTCACGTCCAATGGGAGTAGGGCCTCGGGGACAGTTCACTCTGAGCCCAGGAGACTCCACGGAGCTGACTCTGCCCTGCTTTTCTGTGCGCTGCAGACACCCAATGTGTGGTTTCTGAAGACAGCAGTGAGTAGGAGAGTCAGAATTGCTTAGAGCTGTTCTAGGAGTCATTAAAGTGTTGGTGGTTAATAATGCTTTGCTTGGGTTCATGTTGAGATAAAATCGCTCTGTCAGCGCACAGGAGCACGAGAAGTTAGTGGAAGGAAGAGCAGGCCGAATGCGTATCCCACACTAAGTTGCTAAGTGAGGACTGTTTCAAAGGAGATTTGGGAAAAGCAGTTGCTGCATGTCATGCGTTTGTTTTTTTCTAGGATTCTTATTCAAGAATAAAAAGAGACAGATACTGTGATTCAGTTGTATTTGTTTTGCCCTAATGATTATAGTTAACTTGAGCTATGTGATGAATGCCCTGTGTTTTCCCCTCAGCCCACGAGGGATGACCGCGGGTGGATTATTAGTCCCATCGGGCCCAACCCGTGGTGGACTGTGATCGCTGCGATTATCCCAGCTCTTCTCTGCACCATCTTAATCTTCATGGACCAGCAGATCACGGCGGTCATCATCAACAGGAAGGAGCATAAGCTCAAGGTAAGACGGCGCTAGGGTGGAGAGTCACACTGCTTTCATCCTAAGCAGGGGAGAGTCACACTGCTTTCATCCTAAGGCGGGGAGAGTCACACTGCTTTCATCCTAAGGGGAGGAGAGTCACACTGCTTTCATCCTAAGGGGAGAGAGTCACACTGCTTTCATTCTAGGGTGGAGAGTCACACTGCTTTCATCCTAAGGGGAGGAGAGTCACACTGCTTTCATCCTAAGGGGAGGAGAGTCACACTGCTTTCATCCTAAGGGGGGGAGAGTCACACTGCTTTCGTTCTAGGGTGGAGAGTCACACTGCTTTCATCCTAAGGCGGGGAGAGTCACACTGCTTTCATTCTAAGGGGAGCCCATCTGGAGGACCAGGGTGGAGTGTAAGGTCGGGATTCAGATCAGCAAGGGCTTCTACCTGCTCCTGCAGCAGCACAGAGTTGTCTAGAAATGAGTCTCCACGGAGCACTGCAGTGTGGCGAGCCAGAGGCTTAGAGTGCAGTGCTGTCCTCTGAAACCTGTGCAGAAAGGCGCCACTCGGGCCCGGGGCCGCTGTTGGCCAGAGGCAGGTACAAGGACTTTCACACTGGACCTTGACTCAAAGGACCCTAAGGCTCTGGGGTGTCCTTGTGTTAGTGAAACATCTTGTGCTTTCCACCCCTGTTCTTCCCCTACTCAGAGCAGGTGGCCGCACATCTGGCAGGAATCTGGGCATGTCCCACGGGAAGCCAGCAAAATGTTTCTCTCCAGTTCCTATACTACCGATCTGTCGCTGAGACTGCTCAAGATGTCGCTAGCTGTCTGCTTTCCTGCTCCAGGGAGGATGGAGCTTTGTGTGTGTGAGGCTCAGAACAAGCTGGGCACTCTTACATGATGTATATAGACAGGCTGAAATTCCTTTTTCTTCTCTGTTCCCTCCTAAGAAAGAGGGGACACGAGACTTCTCTGGGATCCCAGCCCCCTTCCTTCTTACCTGTCTGCCTGTTCAGCCTTGAGCTCAAGGTTGTGTGCCCTGCTGCAGCCATCCCACTGGAGGTGACAGACACTCTGCTTCCCTGCAGAAAGGCTGTGGCTACCACCTGGACCTGCTCATGGTGGCCATCATGCTGGGCGTCTGCTCCATCATGGGCCTGCCCTGGTTCGTGGCTGCGACCGTCCTGTCCATCACGCATGTGAACAGCCTCAAGCTGGAATCCGAGTGCTCCGCTCCTGGAGAACAGCCCAAGTTCCTGGGCATCCGAGAGCAGAGGGTGACTGGCCTCATGATCTTCGTGCTCATGGGCTGCTCGGTCTTCATGACAGCTGTCTTGAAGGTAATTGTTCCTTCCTGGTGGGTGTGGCACGTTCGGAGGGCATGATATGTTCCAGGAATCCCACAAGGTTCTGGGAATATAACCAGGTGCCAAAGGCAGACCATACCCACACACACTCCTGCCCCGACAGAGCTTATTCTGGTAGGGTAAGACAGATATGTGGGTAAGAAAGTGAGTGAGGAGAGCAACGCTTGATCATTACAAGACGTGACAAGCAGTAGAAAGGACAGCCAGCATGGGACTGGTGCTGAATGGTGCCACTACAAATTGAGGGTGGTCAGAGAAGGCCTGCGCGAGGAGAGAGGGGTTTGGGGATGAGATGGTGACTACCTTGCCACGAATGGCAGGAGGAGGTGTGCGGGAGAGCAGCCGTGGGGCAGGGCATGAAGTAGGAAAGGGAACTCTGCAGGGCCACATGGCTCGAGGGGGCAGAGTCTGGGTAAGAAGCACTGACACACTGCACGGTGCGTGGCGGCAGGGCACCAGTCGAGGTGACGTCGGAAGGTCTTTTTTTTTTTTTCTCCCTCCGAGATTTATTTATTTGAAAGGCAGAGTGACAGTTAGGAACAGAGAGGCAAAGAGTGTCTATCTGTTGGTTCACTGCCCAAATGGCTGCAGTGGCTGAGGAAGAACCAGACCCACCAAGCCTGGAATTCCAACCGAGTCTCCCATGTGGATGACAGGGACCCACACTTGACAGGAGTCCCAGTAACTGCTGCTCTCCCAGGCACATTAGCAAGGGAGTTGGATTGGACATGGAGCAGCCAGGGCTTGAACCATTGCTCTGGTTATGGGAATCTGATGTCACGGATGGTAGTCTAGTGTGCTGCGTCGCAATCCCAGCTCCCTTTGAGATGTTTTAACTGGAGAGGGAGGCACGCCACTTCATATTTTTTAAAAGGTCACTCTGGCTTCTGTCTGTTTCAGGACTGAGGGAAGGAAGAAGCAGAGGAAGCTGTGAGATATATGACAGAGGTTTTGATAAGTGGTAGCAAGAGCAGCTATGGATGCATGGCTTCCGTCTTGATCTTGCTGTTTGACTGGCTGTGGAATGGGGTGAGGAGAGCGGGAGAGTCCAAGATGCTTCTTGGTCTCCCGACCTGACCTCTGCTGGGCAGTGGTAGCACTGGTTAAGATGGAAAAAACCCTTGTGGTTTGGGCAGGGGTGGGACTGTGACTGGATTTTGAGTGGCATGCCTGGGAACCAACCACCTTAGAAAAGAGGCTAGAGGGTGGCCCTGGATGGAAAATGAGATCTTGGCAGTGAACAACTCAGAGATGGCGTTGAAAGCTAAGGGAGTCGATGAGCTCACTCAGGGAGGAGGGCAGAAGTGGAAGAGCAGCCGGAGAGCAGGGAGGGGAGTTTGGGTTGAGGACACAGCAGGTGAACTCAGAGATAGGAAGGTGCCAGACCACAGAAGCCAGATGAGAGGAAGCTGTCAAGGCTGAGGGACTGGCCAGGCGCCATCAGAAAGTTGAAGCAAAGCCAGGGGCACTGAAGTTTGTAACATGGAGGCCTAGCGAGACTTGCCAAGAGCAGATTCGGCAAGTCACACTTGTTTTTGCTGCCTTTAACATGATTTAAAAGCTGAAACAAAAGCAGCAGCTGACAATGGTTTTTCAAAATCCCTTTACTCTGAAATGAAGGGGTCTTAGCAGCTTCAACCGTGGGCTGCCCTCACCCGTCTGTCGTCCCAGGAGGTTGGGTGTGTTGTAACGTGGACTGGAAGCACTGCCTTTTACTGACCAGGGACTTAAGGGCAGGAATGTGAGCAGTCATCCCAGAGAGGAAATGCCTGGGCACTACAGGGCCAGAGCCCAGGGGCAGGTGGCTGGAGAGAGCGGGGGAGCAGGAAGTAAGGAGTGTGTCTGCACACAGCTCATTCCGGAGGCTTCCCCGGGATGTGGAACCAAAAAACAGACAGCAGCTGGCGTGAAAAGTGGGACTAATAGATGAGAGAGACATGAGAAAGAAACTCTGTGTTGGGGCAGCGGGGGACGGGTAGGGAGCAGGACCTGCCTCTTCCCAGAGGTGGGGTGAGAGGGAAAGTTCCTTGGCTGTGTTAGCCTGGCCCTAACCATTGTGGAGCACTGCCAGTCCTGCGTGAGCCAGTCCTGCGTGACTCCCTTCTCCCTCTTGTTGCTGAGTCCTGAACACTCCAAGCTGTCATACAAACACCCTCCAAGGCTGAGAGTTGAGAGGTGTGGTACAAAGTCAGAACCATCTTCCTGGCCCCCTACTTTCCTCTCAGCCTTGCCACCCACTTAACCTGCCTCTCCCTACCCCTCTACTCTCCATCACTAGCCCTCAGATCCCTGCTCTGGGTGCCACCTGGAGGAGCCCCTAGATTGTGGCTCCTCTGGGATTGGACCACAAAGGCGGGGTGTCCCTGGGCCACCCATCACTGTCCCAGGAGGTTTCCTCAAGGGACCAGGTGATGGCTGCGTTGGGACATCTGGCTGCTGCAAAGGTTGGACAACGTCAACCCTAAAGGGGCTTGTCTAATTCTGAGTGGAGCTGAGAATGTTTGAGGAAGTCCTTCAGCCTCGGGATGAAAGCACGTTGCTTAGCCTCCTGCTGTGAGCCCTTCTTTGATTCCGTGAAAGTCCCATTTCCATGCCTCAACTTACTTCCAAGATTGGCCAGGTTGATAGAAGTTCTGTGATGGGGAAAGTCATATTCAAGTGCAATTCGAATAGTCGAGTGTACAGTAACACTTAATGCCCCTCCAGTCATCCCATCTCTGATAGTACCATACTGAGGGACCCCTCCCTCTCCTGTCCTCAAGTCTCCAGTCTGGGAGAAAACATACCAGCTCTCTGAGAAGGTGATTGCATCATCTCGGAAGGGTCGGATGCCACCCTTTCTGTAAGGAGGGAGTGGTGTGTGTGTCCAGCTGCTGTCCCCGCGGAGGAGGAGGGACCAGGCTACTGTGAGAGGAGCCTCGCGCTTAGCTTATTGTGTAGTTTCACAACAAAGTGATGCTGATCATTGTCAGCCTCTGCTTGTCCTGGTCAGACAGAAACTCAGCAGCAGCTGCTGTGACGGTGGGAAGTGCTCTGTGTCTTGTTTCATTCTCAGAGATTCCAAAGTTTGATTGTTATTTCTAAAATGAACCTGTGAAGTTCTATGTACGGGGTACCCTGTGATATTTCACTACCTGTATTCATCGAATCATGTTCGCATCGGTGTGGACAGAGCTGTCTCCTCAAACACGTGTCATTTCTTTGGGGCAAAACATTTAGAATGGCAGCTCTTGAAAACACACAGTGCACTGTCAGTATTTACAATCCCCCTGCCATGCAGTAGAACCCCGGCTTGTTCCTCGTGCCTGAATACGACTTGAGAGCCCTTGTGTCATCGTTCCTCACTCCTTCCTCCTGCCTGCTCTCCCTGGCGACAGCCTCGCAGCTGGTGTCACCTCGGGGTGCTGTGACACCGAGCCTGATGCCTCGCCTTTCTCTCCTTTGTCCACAGTTCATTCCGATGCCGGTGCTCTATGGAGTTTTCCTGTACATGGGAGTGTCCTCGCTGCAGGGAATCCAGGTATGGGCTGGCTGAGGGAGGCCTGTGTCTTCTCACCGTGAGTTCACCTGTGCTGAGCAGGGAGGCCAGCCCCCAACCCCCACCCCCGGGGCAGGCACCACCAGTTCCTGGGAACTGACTTCCAAGTGTCAGCACTGCTTAGAACATGTGGTCACATGTGATCACAGTGAGCCGACAGTGCAAAGACTCTCAGTGTGGCCTGGCTTGGGGTCATGGTTCCAGTTATTCACAAACGATTCAACGCACAGTTATTTGACAAGCGTGAAGCACAGGTGCTTTGCCAGGCACTGGTAAACTTGGAGCTGAAAGGTTGAGAGCCGAACTGCCTTCCGCACGTGGACAGCCGTGGGGGTGTTGCCAGGCTGGAGTGTGACAGAGGGAGCTGGACTCTGAAGACACCGGGCAGTGCGTGTGTGGGAGTGGGAGGAATGGGGAGTGCTGGTGTCACTTTGTTATACACTGTCCTCTCCTGCCCATCGACTCACTCCTCTGAATCCTCAGAAAAAATGAGCAACTTGCCGTCGTTAACTTGGCTGTCCTGAGAAACGTGAACTTCAAACGGTTCATGGAAAGTGGAATTAAAGGGTATTTTACAGTAAAAACGTGTGTGAATGTATGAGTGGGTCTTTGGATGAAGTTCATGGCATTGTGTGTAAAAATAATGAAGGAACTGACTCCATGTTTCCGGGAACTGTTTCAAGTGCCCACATGTAAGAGCTTAACTTCTGTTGGTTGTTAATTTTCGTGTTCAAGGGAATGGCCAATGTTCACTCTTTTTAAATATACTTTTAAATGTATTTGAAAGGCCACTGGCCCACTTCCTAGACCCCTGCAGTAGCCTGGCCTGGGCCAGGCAGGAATTCAGTGCTGGTCCTCTGAGGGACATCACCTGTTGCTTCTCCAGGAAGGTGGAATTGGAAGTGGAGCTGGACTTCAGCCCAGATACTGTGATGTGGGATGTAAAGTGACCCAAAAGGTGTCTTATCTGCTACACCGCATCCCCGTGCCATTCCCACATACTGAGTTCTAATGTGACCTTGGACAGGTAGTTAATACGCATCTCTCTATCTTTGTTTTCCTTTTTAAAGTACAAGAATGATCAGATTTTCTATATCTGGAATGTTACAAGGTTCCGGTTTGGATAACCAATGGCTCCAAACCTTTCAAAGAACAAATCAGAGATTTTCTTTTGAGAATACACAGGAAGGTGTAACTGATTCGCTTACTTGTTTTCAGCCTTCCCAGAGACAGAGTCCTGTCTGAAGCCACAGTGTGGGATGGACAGAGAGGTTTGAATGTGGAGTTAGAAAAGACAAGCTCAGAGGCTGGCTCTGTCACATGCCAGAGTAAGCCGCCACCTTGTGACCCTGACGCTCCTTATGGGTGCCAGTTTTCAGTTCTGATGCAGCTCCCTACTGATGCCCCTGGGACGGCAGAGGAACACAGCCCAGGAACCCCTGCCATCCTTGTGGGAGACCTGGGTTGACCTGCAGCCTGGCCCCGCCCCAGCTTCTGAGGCCATGTGCAGACCGAAACCAGTGGCTGGAAAACAATCTGTCTGTTTCTCTCTTTTTTGAACATTCTCTCTTCAATAACTAAAAAGAAAAAAAATTATTTTCCTAAATGGATCCAGATCTTGACACTCTGCCACTTCATCAACCCACATGACCTGTCCTCACCACTTCAGTCTGGTGGAAACCGTTTTCTGTCTTCAGAGTAGGTGCAAGAGGTGACATGGGGCTGTGGGGGGAGGTGACAAGGTTCCTGAGCCCCAGGAACCTGCTGCAAACCAATGCCAGCGCCTTCCTCCTTTCAGTTCTTTGATCGTCTGAAGCTGTTTGGGATGCCGGCCAAGCACCAGCCGGATTTCATCTACCTGCGGCACGTGCCGCTGCGCAAAGTGCATCTCTTCACCCTCATCCAACTGACCTGCCTCGTCCTGCTCTGGGTCATCAAGGCGTCTCCTGCGGCCATCGTCTTCCCGATGATGGTGAGTCCTCGCAACCCGCTGTCAGCCAGCTGTTGTCAGGGACCATTTCCATCACGGCAGTGTAGCACACTCACGCCGCTGGACTGCTGTCACCACCACCCATCTCCTGAGCGATTTTCATCTTAGAAAGCCGAAACTCCACAGCCATTCCTCAGTGACTCCCCATTTCCCTGTGTGCCCATTCCCTGCCACCCGCCAATCCACTCCCTGTCTCTGTGCACTTAAACATAGGGCAGGTCCTGCTTGGGGGCAGAGTCATACAGCGCTATCTTTGCGACTGGTTGATTTCACTCCGTCTGACATCCTCAGGGCTCACAATGTGGCCCCTTGGGGATGAATATCTGTCCTTTTTAAGGTTGAGTAGTATTCTCTTCTCTGTGTGAACCCCGTTTTGCCTGTCCGTTTATCTGTTGCTGGACACTTGGGTTATGTCTGCTCTGTGGACAGGGCAGCTAATGCTGCGGAGGACAAATGCCTGGTATGTGTCTGCGCTCAGTACTTCTGCCGTATAGCCAGGAGTGGAATGGCTGGATCATAAGGGAATTCTGTTTTTTCATTCTTTTTGTTAATCCCTTACAGCCAGACCTTCCTGGAAAGTGCCTCAGCTTTGTCAGAAGTGCTAACACATTGACGCTCAGGATGAGGGTTTTTGGTTAAAGAAATAGCAGATCCCTGGGAACACGTGGAAGGGGTTCCAGGGAACCTATCAGTAATGAGTTGATTAGAAAAATCGTTGCTAAGATTAAAGGACAGTGTGCTTCACTGTTAGAAGCCTGGCTTGTCACCTGCTTTGTCTAGATACCAGAGGAGGCCAGTAAACACCAGTGAGGCCAGACAGGTGCTTTGGGGTTAGTACTAGTTTCCCTTGGGCAAAGATGGTCTTCCAGGGAAGAAAGTGGTCCATGAGATACACCTGTTTCTGTTGGGGAAGTGAGGTATCAGGTCTGAGCAAGTCACTCGCTCGTTGGGCCTCTACTCCCTCACCTCTGAAGTGAGTGACAGGCCAAGCCAGAGGGTAGAGACAAGAGCCCCTCGTGCCACGTGAGGCAGAAGGTGAAGAGCCCCTTGTGCCACGTGAGGCAGGCAGACGGTGAAGAGCCCCTCGTGCCACGTGAGCCAGGCAGAAGGCAAGGGTGTTGTAGGGAATGTACGGGCAGAGGAGCCAAGAGAATGAAGACTGATCTCCAAGGTGCCATGTCCCACTGCATCACACAGCTGGGCCATGCTCCTGCGGGGCCTCCTGCACCCTCCCCCGGCGCTACCCCGTAGTCTTTCCTGCCACCCAACCCAGGGCAGGGCGGCCATTGAGGACATTGACAGATATTGCACTTCCCTTGTCAAAGAGAGAATAAAGTCACTTGCTATCTCTCTGCTACGTGGTTGTTATACTGAGAGTTTAAATAATGCACACAGAACACGTATCCCTTGATACCTGGCACGCAAAGCATGTTCACGCGTGGCAGCTGTGAAGGTTGTCAGGACTGGGTTTTCACTCGTGCGGTCCTGGTCTGGTGAGGTCATGAGGACACCAGCCGCCTGAACACACTTTTCTTCCTCTTCAGGTTCTGGCCTTGGTCTTCGTCAGGAAAGTCATGGATCTCTGTTTCTCCAAGCGAGAGCTGAGCTGGCTGGATGATCTGATGCCGGAAAGCAAGAAGAAGAAGTTGGACGACGCTAAGAAGAAGGCCAAGGAGGAGGAGGTCAGAGTTGTGGGACCAGCTGTTCCCCTTGGGGTCTTGCCTTGGGGAGCGTGGGAAGTGAGCTGCCAGCAGGGGCCTGCGCGCTTGGGCTGGGCTCCCCTGAGCGTGCAGGGAGGCTCTTGCTCCTGGCTGTCCTTCAGTTTTGGAGTTGACCATCGTTTACCATCTTTGTCTACAGCCCAGAGCAGGCTCACATCTAGAATAGGAACATGGGTCTGCTCTTACTATCAGACGAGACGCCAAAGCGTGGGAGTTTCTGGCACTCTTGGTTATGGAGTCAACTTCAGGTGCTGCCATGGTCAGCACCTGTGAAGAGAACTTGTGGAGGACTGGCCATTCCTCTCGTTTCCCCCAGCACCCGGCGCCTGGCCATCCACACGATAGACCTGAATACATGCCCAACAGGGCATGTGTAACAAAATGAAAATACCGTACCAGGAATTTAATGAAATAATTGATGTCATCTGAAATGCACTTTTAAAAACATATTTATTATTTGAAAGGCAGAGTGACAAAGTTCTTTCACCTGCTGCCTCAACGGCTGCAAGGGCAGAGGCTGTGCCAGGCCTATGCCGGAGTTAGGGACTCCATCCACGTCTCCCATCTGAGCGGCAGGAACCCAAGGAATCCGGCCGCCTCCTGCTGTTTCCCAGGTGCAGTAACAAGGGTTGGAGGCAGGACAGCCAGGACTCAGACTAGCTTCTTACACAGAATGCAGGTTTGCAAGTGGTAGTTTAACCCATTGCCCTACAAGTTTGATCAATGATCTTTAATGATACACATTTTTAAAAGCTTGTCTTTTTCTAATATCTTGCATTGTAAAGATCTTGTATTACTAAATAAGCTTTAATAATCATGAATAGAGGGGCCTGTGATAAGATGTAGCAAATAAAGTCACCATCCGAGGTGCTGGTGCCAAGTGGAGTCCTAGCTGCTCTGCTTCCCATCCAGCTCCCTGCTTGTGACCTGGGAAAGAGGACAGCCCAAAGCCTTGGGACCCTGCACCTGCCTGGGAGACATGGAAGATGCTCCTGGCTCCTGGCTTCGGATTGGCGCAGCACCGGCCATTGTGATGATCTTTCTGCCTATTTGTAACTCTACCTTTCAAATAAGTAAATTAAAGGAACTATCGAGAATTCGTTGTATAAAATATCAAAACAAAATCTTAAAATAACTGCTGAGGGATGTGATGCCATCCTCGTTGCTCACGGTAGACGGAGAGGCCTGGACCTCCCGGAGTTTACGTTCTCACAGAGGGGACACAGGCTAGAACAAAACTACTTGTTCATAATGTTCGAAGATTACCATATGCGTATGCAATTTTAATGTAAAATGTGTTCTGTGAAGAAAGTCGGGGTGAGGGGTTAGGAAAGCTTCTTCTGATCAGAGATATCTGAGCAGAGATCTGAATGAAGTGAGGGGAAAATCCTTAACTTCTGGACCTAAGAACATTCCAGGTGGAGGGAACCGAGAGTGCAGAGGTCCTGAGGCTGGGACGAGCGTGGCTGCTTGCGGGCAGAGCCGGTGGGTTTTGCTCTGTTGAAGGTGGGCATGGCCTAAGACAGGAGTCGGGGATGACTGATAGATTTTTGACCCGAAGACTGGATGGATGGTTGTACTAGTGCGTGAGATGGTGAAAGCGAAGGAAGAGCGGGCTTAGTGCGGAATCAAGAGCTGTCTCTCGCATGTTAAGTTTGAGGTGGCTGGCAGACATTGTATTCCCTGTTTTTCAAACGTTCTGAAATAAGCATTGTTTTATAAAATGATAGTCTTTTAAAAGCTACATGAAAGATAAAAGCTTGACTCAAAATTTTGTCATCTCAACACACATCTTATGTTCATTTTTTTATATTCTCTACAAATGCTTAACAAAATTTTTATATAATGCTATTATAATTACATATATCTATGTGTTATATATGTATCTGTGTGAGGATAATTCAAAAAGTTCATGGAAAACAGAATTCAGAGGTAAATTTATTTTCATGCAAAAAAAATCTTAAACCATGCATAGTTTCTTTATTATATATACACTTCCATGAACTTTTTGAAGCCCCTCTGTATTATGTGTATAAATTTTTATTTTTTTCCCACCAACTGGATCTCATATTTTCATGTTTCTATACAATAATGATGTTTATCTTAATGAGTTCTATAGTATTACATAGCATTAGATAGTACTCTATAGTATTATCCCCCAATTAATTGAAACTTTTCTTCATTAAAATTTTTTCTTGTGTTTTAGGTTTAATTGCTAGTCATGCTACCATAAACATCTTTATGCCTACAGGTTTTTTTCTCTGTAGTTGTTTCGTTCAAGTTGCTGAAATGATCTTTTACAACATGTCATTTAAAATGATTTAAAGACACACAGAAAAGCACTCTCTCCCTTGTGTTGGCAGCATGTGTGTTTGAGTGAGGCACTGAGCAGCTCTCGGCCCAGGGACCGCCGCTGGTTGCTGTCTTTCTCCAGTCTCCATCAGAGGTCGCTTTTCCCCTTCTTTGTTTCCCCACTCTTCAGGTTTTGTTCAATGTGTTTCTGCATGTGATTTACCATATTCTTCCCCAGAAACTGGTCATTGGGGGGAAAGATCTTACTCAGGTTCTGCGGCTGCCTTGCTTTCCAGTGCTGTTCCGTGTGTCTGTATCTGCTTATCTCTCTGTGACCAGTCAAATCTATTATACTATCAGTATAATCTGATTATACTCAAGTCAATGTGAGAGAAGATTAGGTAGAGGTTGTGCTGGTCGCAGAGTCTTCCTTGATCTGATGCCTCCCTTCCTTCCAGGAGGCTGAGAAGATGTTGGAGATGGGTGGAGACAAGTTTCCCTTGGAGAGCAGGAAGTTACTGAGCAGCCCCGGGAAGAGCCTCAGTTTCAGGTAAAACTCCCCAACGCCCAGGAGTTTGTTCCTGCTGCAAAGGCTGGCCACCATGTCACCGTGTGGGGGCGCTGTCGCCGGTGCAGCTAAACAGCCTCCCACTTTCATCTTTTCCATCTCATCATTTATTGAGCACCTGCTAGATGCCAGGCACTGTAATTCGAGATGCTGAGAGACACAGGGAGAGGCGTGGCATGGGAGCCAACGTTTGGAGAGCTGGGGGTCTCCTCGTGGCCAGGAGCATCCTGCAGAGGTGTTTGCCACCTGCTGTACCTTGACAGCCACTCATGGATGTCAGTCCCTCCTCACCCACATTCACACAGGGAGAAGGCTCTGACCTGCTTGTCTGTCCCTCAACCAGAGCTCCTTCTGCGTCTGCTTGCCACTTCCTGGGGACGAATCGAAGGCAGGTTTTTATTTCCAGAGAATCCTCGGCCTCCCAGACATGCAGTTCCCACACACGGGCAGGCCTTTGGAGATGGCAGAGGGCCCACCGGGCGCTGGCTCGCAGATCCGTGCCAAGGAGCACAATGGCAGCTGTCCTCATGTCACACCTGTGTCCTCTGTCCCACCTGTTGCTCAGCACAAGTCACAGGAGGTGAAGGTGGTCAGTGTGTAGGCCGGCTCCTGCCCACACAGTCCAGAAGAGCCTGGCAGTCAGAGCGGGCGGACAAGGAAGAGGACAGGGTTCCCCAGGTCCGGTCCTGCAGAGTTGACTGCTGAGTCCTGGTGTCGCTGGGAACTGACATCTGGGAAGTCATGTCTCCCCTCTCACCCTCTGCCCACACCCCCTTTTTTTCCTCAAGGTTTAGGTATTTATTTGAAAGAGTTACAGAGAGGGAGGGATAGAAAGATCTTCCATGTATTGGTACACTCCCCAAATGGTTGTGACTGTCAGAACTGGGCCAGGCCCAGACCTGGCACCTGGGATTCCATCTGGAAGTCCCGTGTGAGTGGCAGGGACCCAGCTACTCGGGCCGTCTTCTGGCGCTTTCCCAGGCACATTAGTAGGGAGCTAGATCAACAGAGAAGCTGGGATTCAAACCTGTAGTTATTTGAGATGCTGGCACTGCAAGTTGTAGCTTAATGCACTGTGCCACTGGCCCTTTTCTTTGATTCTTTCTATGATTTGCCATGGAAGGAGCCATAGGCTTTGAATTCCCTGGTGTGAAAGTAGGAGCAGGGTCCCTCCAGTGGGCTACTGCATGCCCTCTGGACACTTAAGGAGAAAGTCCAGCTGGGAGAAAACTTGCATGTACCCTGGGGCTCTTACCTCAAGGAGTGGGCGAGGCCTTGCTTCTCCTCCCACTTATTGTTTCACCTTGGCCTTGCTTGGATGGTCAGCTGTGTGAGCTTTGATTTCTTTATCCTGAACTTGAGGGCATTCCTCCGTTAAGATCAGAGTGTGGCTGAGAGTGCTGAGGTAGTTGAGTGTGAGGCCTTCTTCAGGCACAGATGGAAAAGTTACAGCTCTGCACACGGGAGCAGAGTGCCTGCCAGGGAGTGCCAGCAGGTGGCAGCGTCTGCCACCTGTGACCGCCCATAGTCAGACTCTCCATCAGGGCCACTGCCTAGCGCACCAGCCCGGCCCCTAACGCCACCTCGTGGATCACCGTTCCATCCACGGTGGCTGAAGGAAGAATGGCCAGATTCCATCTCCTTCCCTCAACTCCTAGGAGGTGTTAGCGGGCTCCCCACATGCAGCCTTTGCGGGGGAGGAAGGGAGTGGCCGTGACAATGATGGATTTCGCTTGTATTCCCCTGACACTCACCAGCCAGAGCACTCATTTCAGATGCGACCCCTCCGAGATCAACATCTCTGATGAAATGCCCAAGACCACCGTCTGGAAGGCTCTCAGCATGAACTCGGGGGCTGCAAAGGAAAAGAGGTACAGGGCACACTGCCTGTTTAGTTCTGTCTTGATCTCTAACGGTGAAAATGACAGTTGCATTGAACATAAACCAGGTTCTGGTGGTACAATTGAATTTGTGTCGTCAACAGCCCTTCCCAGACTGCCGGCAGCCCCACAAGAACTAAGCCTAAACATCAGAAAGATGTTGTCCGAATATTTGGGCCGAGAAGCTGCCCATTTACATAGATCCCACAGGTTAGGGGCTAAGGGTTTGCTGTGTCTGCTTGGCTCCCCCGCTCTGGTTCTCACCTGAGAACCCGAAGGGCGTCTCTCTGACTACTGCAGCCACGCAGAGAGGAAAGGTTGCTAAAATAATGCAGATGGGGTTAAAGTACTGAAACATACCTTCGCCCGCTCCGCCAAGCCCAAGATAAAAATGATTGCCAAGTAGAGACTCTAAATGCTAAATTGCGTTATTTTAGAAATAATTAGGCCCTGTAACACTGGGCAGTATGTGTGGCATGAGGCCCCGGGAGCTGCCTCCCCTGGGTGACCACTCACAGGATGAACCGAAGCTTAGAGCAGCCGTAGCCCGAGTGGGTGGGAGCTGGGGCTGCTTCTTCCTCCAATGGGTTAATATCAATGTGTTATGCATGGGAGTGAAGTGGAGACTCTTTCCTTCAGAGGAAAATCCAGGCAGCTGTTGGGATTTAGAACATACATGATTATTTTTTTGAGAACTGGTCCACTTGTAAATGAACTCCAAATATAGCCAGATCCAAGTTGTGGTGACATTGTCAATGTGTTGACAGTGGGCATGCGTCATGCGCTCCCTTTTGGTCTAATTGTAACACTTTTCTTCAGTCTCTTCAACTGAGCCTCTTGGTGGGCGGTGAGGCGCTTGCCCCAGGGAAGATCTGGTTACAGAGAAGCCAGACCAAATCTGGTCCCATTCCTGGTCATCTCAAAGCCATGCGGCAGCATCCAGTACTCACGGTGTGCCCAGGAGGGCATCCGGCCATCCCATGCCAGCCGCCGTCACCAGATGTCAACACGGAAGCAGAAGTCACCTCCTGTCGCTCCCTCTCTTTCTTCTCGTCTCTTCAGAACTGTCACCATTGAGGACTGAGCTTCCCGTCTGCCAGACATCATCTGTGACACTCTCTGCGGGGGCGGGGGTGAGGGTGGGCTGCAGAGACACCAAGAGAAAAGGACAGGCCCACAGGCAGCCCTGGGCCTGGGTCAGGTGCCTGGCGGCTCAGACCACAGCTGTCTTCATCCGGAGGGCCAGCCGTCCAGGCACGGGTCGTACGTCGTGCTGCAGCCAAGAGGATGCCTTGCAGCCAGCTGCGTCTCCATCACGCCCCAGCAGCAGCCCTGCACAAGGCCCTCAGTGAGTGCCTCGGAAGAAACAAGGGCTAAGAGAGACGTGGAGTTGTTTAGCTCGGGTGGGCAGAGGCTCCAGGAAACCACAGTGATGCGTGAGGGTGGGCGGTGGCTCTTGAAGGTCCTTGCGTGAGAGGACCTTCCATCATCACGGGAGGAGTTGGTGTGGATACCCTGCGAGAACTTCCTGGGTGGGACGTGTGCTGTCGTGTCTGCTTCTTAGACATCTAGGAAAGGCCCCGGGACAGTGGTTGGCGAGCAGAAGGGAGGATGTGGTGTTTTGGCTGACGTTCTGTGGAGCTGTCTGTGTTTTGAAGATATATCTGCGTTGCATCTGGAGCGGGCCAAGGGCTTGTGGCCGTCTTCCTCGGCTGTTCAGTAGTGGGCTGTCGCACACCCAGTGGCCCCAGAGCATTGCTTCCTTGTGCTGGACTTCTCTTAGCTGTCCAATGTCCTGCCTCTCCCACGTGAAAAAGCAGCACTGGGAAACGAACTCTGAGCGGTGAAACTGACTTGGGTATTTAGCTGTGAGCTGCACTGATGGCTCTCGTGTGATGAGCGTCAAGGGTCTGCACCACAGAACCCACCTTGCTGGGTGCACAGAATGTGGCCCAGAGAGCCTGTTCTGCCCACTCTTCATCCTGGAAAGTCTTGCGGGGAGTGGGCAGTTCCCCTAGGATGACTTTCTTCCACAGACAAAGAAGTGACTCCTTTACTTTATTGAATTTTTTTTATCCCTTTGACTCTTAAAATATATGCATATATTCTAGTCTTACTCTCTAAAGACCTTTGGTATGGAGCATTTTTCCCCTGTTGGGGCCACAGTTATTTCAATGCAGTGATGATTTTTAAGGGCACAGGGACAATGGGCACAGGCCAGCCACCAAGCACTGAGAACGGAGGCCCATCAGCCTGCTTCCTTCCTGGGTTGACTAATTCCTGTCCATAAGGCTCTCTCTCAGGGCCCATCTTGGCTTCCTTTCACATGGTATGGACAGGATCGAGTGTGGACAGGATCGGGCGTGATGCTTTGAAATACGCGGGTGTTGAAATCTCAGTGAGCCACAACTCCACATTTTGTGGCTTTACTTTTGACATAAAAATTGTACACCTTGACCTTCCTGATTTGGAAAAATTAGCAGCCACCTGTTGCTGGGAGAAGTGCTCTTGCTGGCTGCTCCCCGTCTCTGGCTGCTTCCTTAAACTTGCCTCTCTTTCATCTTCCTTGTTCTCTGAGAACACGCGCCCTTTCCCACTCCATCATGACTCTCTCATCTTCTCCTCCCACTCTCTGTGTGGAGACCTTGGCAATACTCAGTCCATTTCCCCAGCTTTGGCATGGCCGGTGGATGTAACAGAGGGAGCATCTGCCACGAAGCCAGATGACAGGACCACTGAGACACGTCTCCCCAGACACAAGGATATCTTCTTATGCCTTTTGTATGCTGAGCTGCCAAAGAGTAGGGTCCCTGCCTTTGTCAGTGCTGGACAGTGTGGTTTCAGAGCCACCTATGGGTACACTGCCAGTCCTTCCTGCGCCATACCCTCCCAGGTCACTTAGCTACTTGGAAGGTGTTGCCAACCTTTTGAAGCCACTAGATTTTTTTTCTCAAACAACAACCAATCTCCTTTCTGCCTCATTCCAGTGCTAGGAACCATTCCCCACCCTTAGCTTCTCCTCTTTCCCAGTCCCCCAAACATACACACACACACACACACACACACACACACAGCCCCAGCCCAGGCTGTGTCGGTGCTCAGGCAGACATGGAGGGGCTGTCAGGTCAGGCAGAAGCTGGAAGAAGAGGCAAAGCAGCCATTGTGCACGTGGGTGAGCACATACCTGCTCTGCGTGGACTAGCAGGAGTACAGTCAAGAGCTTTCCTTGTTCCTGTTAAGCTGCCATGTGGGAACTTGGGGAAAATATACGGTCAGTCTTTCATCCAGGGAGTTCCCATCTCACGCTTCCCTGACACGACAGCGTGAGGACAGACTCATGCAAGTTCATCCACAGAAAACTCTACTCATGTCCATGCTGGGACACTGTCAAGTGTGCTCGGTTGCAGGAACTGTGGGAGACTGGCTCTTGGTGGCAAGGGACAATGTCCAACATGTGAGGGCACAACACACAACTGCTGGGCCCAGAGCCTTGTTTCTGGTCACTGGCCTGAGGACAGAAGGGGTGACAGGCCATACGCTCCATGTCAGACATGTGGCTGGCTGGCTTCTAAATTCATCATAAATATCCAATAAAGATTTAGCAAATGCAGAATTCCAGGTGCGGTTGAGAGGTCAGGCCACGGCTGTTAGGGCCTACCTACCCCAGGGGGCGCTGGAGAATCTGTAGTTCTGGCCATCCAAAAAAACCCCAAGTTCCTAGTTCTCCATCTCCTGCTCGGCTTCCCAGACTTGACTGTGAGTGGAGGAGTCTGTGGCCTGCTCCGTGTGGTCTCCGGGTCTCAGGCTTGCCACCAAGTGGGGAAGCCAGCCCACGTGGGGAAGCCAGCCCACGTGGGGAAGCCAGGCCCACGCAGGGCCTGCAAGCAGCACCCGAAGGACCAGGCTGTGCTGCAGCTGCTCCCTGCCATTGGGGTTGGGTCGACTGAGCCCCTCAGCTCATCCCTTGCAACAGAGCTGGGCCCTCCTGCTGGGCACGTGAGCAATCAGCTTTGTTGCTTTGTTCCTGCATTTTCTTCAGACTTCTGAGATTTTCCAGGCCACATCTTGGTGGGATATTCAGGAACTCTGCATTGAATGTTCTCTTTCTGCCTTTTTTTTTTTTTTTAAGTCTACATAGCAGAGCCAGGGAGAGGGGAGAGAGAATTCTTACCTACTGGTTCACTACCCAGATGCCTACAATAGCAGGGGCCGGGCCAGGCTGCAGCCAGGAGCCAGGCCCCTACATCCACATCTCCCATCTGACTTGTGAGGGCCGGAGTGCTCCAGCCATCACCTGCTACCTCCCAGAGTGGCCGTTAGCAGAAAGCAGAACTGGGTCTCCGTCCCAGGCCCCCTGACGTGGTATGCTGCAAACGCTTGTGCTCGGCCTGCCCATCTTCCCTTCAGTTGCCGCCGCCGGGCCTCCCTTCAGGCAGAAGCCCTTGGAGCAGGCGCAGGCTGGCTGAGAGCCGTCACCCATCCACCTTCCTCCCCGTCTCCTGGCGCAGCCTCTCCCGACACCCTGAACTCCTCTCCCTCTGCTTGTCCTCCATCTCTCAGGTTCTCCTTCAGAGGCAAGAAGCTCCGGGTCACAGGACAGGAGAGGAGACAGCAGGGAGAAGCTGGATGGCTCTGGAGCTCCTGATAAAGGGGGCTTCTTCATTAGGCTAATTCCTGACCCACATTTCGATGGGAACAGGGAAAGAGTCATCCAGAGGCAGGCACAAGCCATGCGCCCACCACATCCATCCTGTGAGCTGCTCGGCGCCCTTCGTCCCAGAGCAGCGACTGTGCCGAGTCGGCTCAATTCATGTTGCTTTATCAGAACGCAGAGGTCATTGTCAAAACCCAGAGGGGTCACTGTGTCACAAGACATAGGAAAGGAGCGTGCCGGGATCTGCCGGGCCGAAGCAACGTCCAAGAGAGGAGGAGACAGCGCAGCTCGCCCAAGTCTAACTCTCTGTCCGTCGTGGACAATGCTGGACTCTGTCTTTTAGCTAGTGGCATTAGTATCTCCAGGCCAGGGGGTTGGAGAGCCACACCCAGGCTTTTCCGAGCTCAGCAGGAACAAGCAGAACGTGGCTCCCAATGCCAGGCCACAATCCACCTCCCACACAGGTCTTTGACCATGTGCAACAATGTGCAAAGCAGACGCAGCCAACTGAATGTACAAATGGTTTCCTTTCCTAAGAGGCCCGCCCTTCTTCCTCTCCTTCTCGGGTTCCCGCCTGCCTTTCCATGTCGGTGTTTGTCGCAGGGTCGCTCAGAGCCCGGGGTGCGTGGAGAGTGGGGCCTGAGCTGCTCCCTCGTCCAGGTCATCTGGTATTCTTTCCAGCCACCCTCATGTAGAGCTGGAGATATTTTCATTTCAGAGATTCTAAGGCAGATATTCTTGGTGTGGGAAATGTCCCCTGTCCGTACTCCGTGGTGTAAATAGAGAAAAGCCATGTTGTCATGCTAATCCTGTAGCCCTGTGTGTGTGTGTGTGTGTGTGTGAGAGAGAGAGAGAGAGAGAGAGAGAGAGTGTGTGTGTGTGTGTGTGTGTGTGTGTGTGACAACCCCATCTCCACATTGCCTCCCCTGGGTCTGTGTGTGTGAAGCTGGGCAGGCACCACGAACACCAGCCTGCCCAGCTCTCGAGTGCTTGCCTTGGTGGTAAGGGGGATTGGTAAATAAAGTCTCTATAAACCATCCATGCCAGTGCTGTTCTTTCGGCCCAAACCCAAGGTGGAGCCTGTGCTGGCTAACTTCAGAACCCTGGGGGTGGTGGGGTCCACCCAAGCGGACAGAGCTGCCAAGGAGCTGCTTGCTGCTTGGCCTGGGGAATGGGACCGAGGCACAGAAAGCCCACCTTGGTGCCCCCGCCAGGCTGAGGGGTTCCCCTGTCCACTGGTACAGACTTCAAAAAGGATCTTCCAGGGTGGGGTGGGGGGTGCAGGGAGGGGTTGATTCGGTTCGGGGATGGAGTTGCTCTGTTTTTCTCCCTCTCATCCTGTTATTGGAGAAGCAGAGGAAAGAGGGAGGAACAGCGGAGTAAGAGGGGCCGGTGAGCAGGCTCTGGGTGAGAGGGTGCCCACTGGCACT